CCCCCCCCCCGCGGGGGACTTTTTTCCCGGGGGTAGGGGGGGGGGGGGGGGAAATGGAAGCTTTTTTTTTTTTTTTGTTTGTTTTTTGTTTTGTTTGTTTTTTTGTTTCTCGATCAGGCGCAGAAAAGTTTCTACATTTTCTACAAGCAATGAGTTAAGACAGAAAACTAAAAACAGAGAAGTCACTTACGCATGAACTCCAAGCAGGCGAGACATTTCCCGAGCGCCAGCACCGACCCCTGCGTGGACATTTCTCAGGCGGAAAACGGGCTGTCCCCGGCCGGGTTGTAATTCTAATAATTTCTCATCCCGTCCCAGTGGCAGCAGCAGCCGAGTCCGGTCCGTCCACACCAAAAGTCCCGGCAGACCCGCGGCCCCCAAAAGCTGGGTCACTGAGGCTTCCCAACCCACTTACCCAGCAAAAACAAAAAAAGAAAAAAAACAAAACAAAAAACTCCCAAACTGGGCCAGCAGCACCGGTGCCAGCCGTCTTCTGTGTCTCTGCTGCCTGTCAGGGGACTGGTTATTTATTCTGTGTGCTCGGTCAGCGCTGGGCACCGGGCCTGCAGAGGGACAGAGGGGCGCTCAATGAGGGGCAGCGGGGAGAAAAGAAAGGCAGGAATGGCACAGAGAGACCCAGATTCAGAGAAAGGAGGAAAGGGGCCCTTGGGAGAATTTACACGAGGAGCTTACTCACGTTAACTGGAGGAATGTCAGAGCTGCGCTCAGTCTTTACTTTGGAAACTGCTCAGTCTGCTGGAAAATCTGTATTCCAGCCCCAACTTTCCCTTATTCCTCCAACGCAGGAGGACTGGATATTGATCATTTTGGAATAACTTTGCATTAACAGATGTTTTTAGTTTTTCTTTGCAAAATTTGTAACTTCAGCCATGATATCATTCAACGTTTATGCACCACAAATCTGGAACAAACGTCCAGAAAACTGCAAAACAGCTGAAACACTGAGATCCAAATCAAGACTAAAAACCCACCTGCTGTTGAACCATAACAAAAGGAACATTACCCAATATATCTGATGTGTTTGATGATTCTAATGATGCCACTTGACAAAATACAATATCTGTTATAGCGCTTCACAACTGTTTACTATCTCATGTTTTTGTTAAACACACATTGGTAGATGATCAGTTTTTAATGATATAATGAACTTAATGTTGGTTTTAATGCTTTTATTCATTCAAAGTTATTGCTTTATATTTTCTATTTGTGTGGTTTTATTATTTTCTATGATGTCACCAATTCAAATATGAAGTTCTTATTTGTAATTACATGGTTAAACATCCAATCAGGATTATGCTGCAAGCTTGTTGGTGGACACAAAAAGGTGTGTAGTTGTAGCTAAAAACTTCTAATTATTTAATTCCTTTACAGTTTAAAATGAACATGTCACATGTTGATTTAAACACATATTTTGAATGAAAATAAGAATCTCCTGTCCATTTCCTATATCATAAGTATTTAGACTCAAATCAAACTTTTGAGCATGAATGTCTAATTTGAACACTTCAAAAGTTACCAACCTAATTCCTGTCTTTTAAGAGGTTTGCTGAATAATCGTTTCACCCTGTAAAACAAAAATGGCTGAAATGCATGTTAAAAGGTGAATGCAATCTCTTCTAGACCTGTACTTTACTTCCAGGTCATCTGTTACTATAGTTGAGCAGAAAAAAGAAAAAAACCATCATAAGATCAGCATCAGTTTCTCTTTATTGTTCATTGCATGGCCACATAAACTGGTTCTCCTCTGCACTGTGCATGATGGGACAGTCACTATGGAGATGGTGATGTCGATGGGATACATTTCAGGAGTTTACAGACACAACCCAGACCCCCGCCCCGCCCCGCCCACAGGACAGGTCGGCTGATCTCCACCAATCAGCTCCCACCTACCTGCTCCGTCTAACCTGATAAATAGATTCTGCTTTCTTAGCTTCTGTTCAGGATTGGTTCAGTGGATCAACACACAATAACAAGCCCTTCCCCTTTCCCTTAGACATTCCTGTGTTTATCATTCAGATTCAGCTTACAAAAAAACAAAACAAAAAAAAAATAAAGAAAAATAACATCATTTGGGTACAAAAATAAAATCCAAATGAAAATCTTCCAACAGGTCAAAGCCTGCTGCGTTTTCTCTTTCTTTTCTCAGACAAATAGCACAATACGTACGTCACTGGTCACAAAAGTACACCGCAAATAAGGAAAAAATAAATCCAAATAAAATAATTAAAAAACCCCACATATTAGAGAAACCATAGATCCGTCTTCCTTTGAGCCTGCGGGCGACGAGGCGCCTGGTTTGGTTCTGATCGATGGAAGTCAGGCAGCGCCTCCTCCGCCGCTCAGCTCGCCTTCCTGACCCCGTTTCTGGAAATCAGACTGAAGGAAAGAGGGAAGGGAAATCCAGAACACTGCTCTAAATATCTATATGGATTCATCTCGGCGTGAATGAGTTTGTGTGTGCGGATTCTCTCAACACAAATGTACTCGTTTGCTAACATATACAGTGTATTCCTGGTTAGAGGTGAACCAGGGGCACGCCCATCCCAGCGCTTCCTCCCCCGGCCGCCGCCGCCACGCTCACGCTTTATGTTTAACAAACTGAGAGGTGGGAGATCTGCTGCTTCTCGTGTTGCCTGCCTTTTCTTCTTTTGTTTTTATTTATGTTTTATTTTTTAACCTCCTCTTTATTTCCGTTTCAAGCCCTCAAAACTTTTAACTCTTCGATCCAGCTTTCTTTTGAGTTGTTTTTCTTTCCTTTTTGGAGACGCAGATACACACAGAGCAAAAGAGTGGGAGAGAGAGAGGGAGCGAGTGTTGTCATCGATCAGCTGCTCGCAGCACTGACAGCTGCCCCCCCGGTACGCTCTCAGCCGATCTCCTTCCACTGGCGGTAGAACTCCACGATGTTCTTCAGCTCCATGCCTGCGGACGACGCAGCCTGGGTCGCCGACTGGCAGAGCAAGAAAATAAACACCAGATCTGAGCTTCAGATGAAGAAATATTACTTCTTACCTTATAACCACAAACTTCAATACATTTCTTTAAGAGTTTATGTGAAACAAAGTAGGGCATAAGAGGTAGAGGAAAGAAAAAACTTTTTTTTTTTAATGAATAAAAATCGAAGGAGTATTAGTGGCTGTAATCTACAGCTTTTCACCCTGGAATCTCCAACTCCACCATTATATTATTTTTGGATCTAAAAAAGAATGATCCAGAGAATGTGTGTCAAACTCAAGGCCCGGGGGCCAAATGTGCCCCGCCGCAGCCCCGCATGTGGCCCTCTGGACTTCAAATTACATCAATAAGTTGATTGGAACATGAAAAAATGTAAATCAAGATATTTGATCAGTTTTCCAAGGAACTTAGAAATCATTCTGCAAAGCTGCTAAGACTTCTTAAAACTTTATCATAATAATCAGGAAATTATTACAGCAGCTGAAAGCTACTTATAACCTCTGAGCGTTTTGTACATTATGCTCTATACGTACATAAAAACTAAAAACTGAGTATTTTGTGACAAAATTAGCAGATCAAAATGTGAGATGTACAGAAAGCGAATCAGTGGACGATTTGGAAATTCTGAACGTTAAAGAGCCGAAAGAGAGTCGGACCTTCATGGCGGCAGACCGAGCGCAGAGCTCGTCCACCTCATGTCCTGTCAGGATGGTCACCATGCCGGCTGTGTCTTCGTCTCCGTTGCTCTGGGACACCGTCAGCTGTCGGCAGCTGTCCACCATCTTATACAGATGCCTGCAAACGAGGCGGATCAGAGCAGAGGAGTCAGATGGAGAAGAGGTTTCACTCAGCGAGAGACGACTGGCATGAAGTGAAGCTCACCAAGCTTCGATGTCCTGCCGCTTCAGTTTATCCCTCTCAAAAGTGCGACCCGACTCCTTCTGACAACGTATGTACCTGAAGACAGGAGATTTAGAGGAAGGACATTATTAGTATGCAACTGTAACACTGACTTATTCTAATATGTTTGCAAAAACATATTTTGACGATAGAATTTTAATCTTTAAAGAACAGTCATTTTATTGCTATTTTTTGATTAGAAAATAAAGAAAACATGAACGTTTTTAAAAGGAGGATGAATTTTTTCTTTATTATTTACCTACTTGTTCAATATTTATTGAAAATGATGCGGAAAAAAGGACAAAACTTGCAGTAATGATGCAATTCAGCTTAAACCCATTGCAAATATGCATGAAAAACATAAAAAAAAAATGCTAAAACTGGCATTTTAAATATCATTTCCATTTAAAAACATTGCTTAGCAACCCTCAGTGGATGGTCCAAACAGCCACAGGTGACAGATCCCCTCAGAAGACACTGACCTGTTTCCTTTGCGGAATTCCGACTCCAGGAAGCGGATCCCGTCTCTTGCACCACCGTTTTCCTTTTTTAGCCGATCCAGCCCGTCAATCACTGCAACACAAATAGAGCAAATATTAATAAAAACTAAAAAAAATCTAGCTTTCAGAGACCTGTAAAGTAGACTAGAAATAACCTATGACACATTTACGGACACCGGTAAACATTTGCTAACTGATCTGCGCTGCGTTTGGCTGGTGCAACATCAACGACTTCCTGACCTGTTCTTGGGATGATGATGATGAAGCAGCCGCTGCTGGCCAGGTGTCGGATGAGGTTCAGATGATGGCAGAGGGCGGCAGCGTCAGGAACCAGGTAGGGAGACATGGACGACTGAGCTTTGGGCTGCTGAAGGCTGCCCTCTAGCTGCGAGACCTCCAACTGCAGATTAGGACCAAAGAGAAGAAAGTTTTACTTTGAGTTGGTATGGAAGACCATTTCTGCCATGAAAGAAAAAACAAAAGATACGTAGGAAGTTATAATTAGGAGAATAAATGTCACAATTTTGAGATAAAACATCCTATTAACGAGAATAAAAGCCAATTTTGAGTTTTAAAGTCATAATTTTAACTTCTTCAAAGTAATAATTTTAAGATGCAAAGTAAATTATGAGATTCAGTCATAATTACGAGACCAGAAGTCATTACTTTGACTTTGAAAGTCAATTTCTACTTTAAAGTCATAATTTTGACTTTCAAAGTTATAATTATGAGACAGAAAGTTGCGCTGTTTCTTTAAGGAGATTTGCTACAGTATCTCAAAATTATAACTTTAAAACTCAAAATTATGACTTCCTGTTGGACTTTTATTTTTTCGTTCCTGGCGGAAATGGATCTCCATAAGTTGGCACTAATTCAACAACATTAAAATATTGTTGGAACAGATATTTCAAACTGCGGCGCCTGTGCGGTGTTCCTGCTTTGATTTTAGCTAGAGGCTGATAAATAACCTGCAGTCGAAGTTGGGCCATGTCCCTCATCAAACGATTCCGACGGGCCTCCTCTTCCGCCTGGACAAATCACAAATAAAAATATTTTATAGAATAAACATAAGTATTTGTTGTATTATTTCAGGGTTGGGCTGTGGGTGTGCGTGTTCAGCCGTCGCTCACCATCCTGAACTGGGCCTTCGCCTGCTGCACCAGATTGTCCTGCTCCGATTGGCTGATGCTGGTAAAGATTCCTGCCTCGGGGTTGAAGTGCAGCACGTTGCCTTGGAGATTTGTTAGGAAGTGGCCAAAACTGCGAATGCAACACACTCGCAACACACACTGAAGAAAAAAGGAGAGAAAAGGAAAGAGTTTGCATTTATTGTTTCACATTTTAACTGAAACACACTTAGATTGACATTTAGACGCCTGCTAGCAGATATTTGTTCATATTTAGTATTTGCTGGAACATTTGATGCATTTTTTTTTCTGATAAAAGAGCAGAAGCTTCTCCACACTGAATACTTGTGAGAAAGTCGCAGCTTCACAGTGCAGATGGTGAAAATGGTGAATGTATTTTCTGTGAAGTAGAATCTGTTCACAGCAGTCGACATAAATGAATCTGAAATATGTAATTTGGGCTTGATTATATAAAAACATGCAGATCGCTTCCTCCGCTCTGCTGAAAATGTTTTAACTGTTTTTAAAAAATTTATTTTATTTACTAAATGAGGCAGTGTTTTTCCATCACAACTCCACACCAGAGCTGCAGCACAAAGCATCTGGAAAGAATTCACAGCGCTTCACTTTTTCCACATTTTGTATGTCGCAGTCTTATTCCAAACTGCGTTAAGTATTTTTATTCCCTCAAAATTCTACACAGAAATATCCCGTTATCACAATGTGGATTTTTTTTTCTTCTAATTTCTTAAAAATAGAAATCAATGAAGCTCAAAATTGAGCCGTTTTCATTTATCATCCCAAATGTTTCTAAACTTACATGGTGCTAAGATCAATGTATCTACATGGTCAACAACTGCTGACATTACACAACGCCAAATGGTAACTTATATTTTTTGAACCTCTGTGGTTCAAAAAAACACTGAAATGTTCTCCCCTCCCACCAAAATACTGATGACTAGGAAAACAAAAACAAAGTTATCAAATTTGATTTTGATTTTATCTTTCAGTAGAAGAAATATGGAATCATTTCTAATGATGTCATATTCGGTACATATCTGGAGCGTACCTCCTGCAGGGGACTGAGGGAGGCGTTGCGGCGACTGAAATCCAGCCGGCGGTGAGCGACGCTGAGCGCAGGCAGGTGCCGCAGCGCCACATCCTCAGGCAGCAGCAGAGTCGGGCTCAAACCCGGCTGTTCGCACTCCTTTAACATCTCTGTCACCTCCGAGTTCAGCCCCAAATCTGCACCACACACACACACACAACAAAATAAAAACATAGATTTTTCCAGGTTTCATCACAAATTGAAGGTAGCACCATTTAACTTTGGTTTCCAGATTTAATTTGCATTTTTGAGGCACCTAAAAATAAATGCCACAGCAGCACAGAAATCAACTGGATTCAGATAAGTGAACCTTTTTAGCTGCTGTGATGAGTAACTGCTGAATTAACTAATAGGATTAATTGTGATTAATCAATTACATAATAAGTTAATGGTAGTTAACTTGAGTATACAGATGTAATATATATACAGTTTCATTTTCACCTGGTTCAAATTCTGAATAAAAAGCTCCTGTTAAACCCTTATGGACAGCATCCGATGATCAATTAGCTAATCCTAAAATTAATAATCAGATCAGTGACACACTATTGGTGCTAAGTCAAGAAGAAAGGACTGAGCTTTTCACATGCTGATGTTAAAAGTATGTTTGCATCCTTTGCTACAAATGATCAAGCGTTCACCAGAGGAATGCTGCATCATTGGATTTTAGACAGTAAAATGTTTCTTAGTTAAAAAAGAAACTGAATTATTTGTTTGCTTGCATCTTTTAATACATTTCTAATTTTGTACAAAAAAAAGGCTTTGGTGGTTAAATGAAAAATCAGCAGGCCATTTTTTTAATCCATTAACTGTCGGAATAATTCGATTAAATAAAATAACTGTTAGTTGCAGCCCTAGTGATCTCACCAGCCTCCAGCAACTTGCTGCCGTCTGGAAGAAGGTTCAGCAGAACCGACAGACGGTTCCACAAGCTCTGCGAACTCTGCAGAGAAAGCAGATCATCCCAGTGAGAAAGACAAACACTTTCATTGCAGCAATAAAACAGGTGTGTTAATGTGTCGGCTCACCTGTGCACACATGAGGATTATATCTGTGTTCGTCCTGAGCCAATCAACAAAGACCTTCACCACCTGCATCAAGCCCTGATTGGACAGAATCTCCAGTTTCTCCAGCAGGGTTTTTTCACTGTGGGCGCTGTGCTGACTTTCCTCCGAGTCCGAGTCCAGGTCTAGTGGAAAACAAGACAGATCAATAAAACCAAGTTATTTTGTCGAGCTATTATGTAGTTCAGAACTGTGAAGTGGAAGTGAAATGACAATAACAGTTCTCAACAGGTACAAGCCACACCTTTCAGATTTCTATCTATAAAGAATCACCAAATTTGCATTAAACTCAGCAGGAAATCAACTGGACTGGGCTGTGGAGTGGACTTTAACTGGGCCAAACACTTAAACATGTTCAGAAAAATAATTAAGCCAAAATTATACAAAATATAATATAGATCTGCTGTTGGCCACACCCCCAACCCCCTGAACTCAACATTTACACTTGCACATGAAAATGGTTGCAAACAGATCCGCAATTATACAACCATACATCTATGAAAAGCAGAAGTGGAGCCTCCTGCACAACCAACAAGAATGGAGCAAGTGGTTTCTGGATGGTAAATCAACAACAAAACACATATTTTTTCCAGCAGCCATTGTACAGTTAGTAGGTGTCGGACAGGGCTTGGTTGGCGTTGCTAGGTAACGGCACAGAGTGACTCAACAATCTAAATATTTTTGAAACGGCTCATTTTCCAGACACCAAAAAACAAGAACTCATTGCCAAAAAAACAGCTGAGTGCTTATTCTTAAAAGCTTGGACTGTTTTTGGAATCAGTAAATGGAAGAACAAAAACGTGGAAAATGTGAATTTTGCATATTAAAATCAGACATTTTAAGCCTGAACTAAGGAGGCTGGATGTACACTACCATTGTCGTTGGTTCCATTGGCAGTGCCGGGGTTCAGGTCGCGGTGTGAGTCTCCAGGCGGAGGGGGAGCCTCCTGGGAGGGCGGGGCGGAGGTGTCAGTGGGGGTGGAGCCTGAGGCGGCCTGAGGCCTCAGCAGCATGTTGCTGAAGGTGGGTGCGAGGCGGAAGCAGCGTTTGGACTGGAAGAGCTGGGAGGACATGGCCTGCAGGTTGCTGCTGATGCTGGAGTCGCTCTGCGTGAGGGGCCCGTTGGTGCTGGGCGGGGCCTCGCCGTCACGATCCCCGCCTTCCTCCCTGGGTTGCTCCACTTCTTCCTCCTGCTGCTCCCGGGCCGGACCCTCGGTGCTGTCTGAGTTTTCTGTGTCCTCTATGTCCTCCAGGTCTGAGCAGGACTCCTGGCTGTTCATGTCCGAGTCAGTCTCCACGTCGAAAGCGGTCCCTCCCTCCTCTTCCTCAGAGCCACTCTCCCAGCTGCCTTCCTCACCCAGGCCGTCCCTCTTCGTCTCCTTCTTCACAGACGAAGGGTTGAGCGGTTCATCTACTGGCGTCCCCCCTGTGGAGTCAGCACGCACCCTCCCTCCTTCATCGTCTTCCTCGTCTTCTTCGCTCTCGAATCCTTCGCTCAGGTCGCTTTCGTCCTCCCCTTGTCCGCCTTTATGCGCGCAGCGGCGGCGCCGCAGCCGAGATAGGCGGGTGTACTTCTTCTTCTGTCTCTGCTTCTCCTCCTCTGCCTTGTGCTGATCTTCTTCGCTGCTCTGCTTTTTGACTCGGACCCGCTCACGGCCATCTTCATCCTTATCCTCCTCATCCTCCTGCTCCAGGGAGCCGTTCTGCAGAGGCCTCTCCTCTGACGGATCCACTTCTGCAGCTGACATATCCCTCACTTCAAGGTCATCTGGGTCAGAGAAGAAACATGCTTGATTTTAGTTTGGTTAAAATATGTCACATTTCAAGAAAGATGAAACTAGAAGCTGTTTTTGACATTCTACCAAGGGAAAACTTAAAATATAACTAGGCTTTAAATCGACAGAGCTGAACAAACACCCTGAAGTCGATGTTTCCTGACTCACCTGCAGCGTCGGTGTGCAGCGCAGGAACCTGGCTCTCCCCCTCCTCTAGTTCAGCCTGCAGCCGGATGTTCACGTGGTTCACCAGGTGGGAGAACAGAGCCAGCGTAAACGCTATGGACGCGCTGTACTGCTTAGATCCTTAAACAAAACAAGGTTTGTTAGAAGTGAAAAGGTGAATGAAACTGAAACTGTGTGTAGTAAACCAAGTTAATGGTTTATAATCATTTTGTAGCTACTCTTGTTCATAATGATACAAAGAAGACTTTTACTCATCGGGAACAATTTGCACTTTATGGTCCAGGAACACATTTCTATCATATCTGCAGCTCTCTGTAGCTACGTGGCAACAACATCTCAAATATGCACACAACCAGTTTGCTCTGCATATCGGAGGCACTTCTCTTCCTCTTCTAGCTTTGCAAAGGGAAGAATGTTTTATTTAGAGCCTAACCCTATTTTAAAACCAATTAATCAGATAAAAAACTAGCACATTCTGCAGATTTTTCATTAAAACCACTTGAACCTTTTCATACAAGATTAGAAATATATTAAAAGATGCAAATACACAAATAATTAATTTATTTTTTAAATAACAAAAGTAAACATTTTGTTGCCTAAAAGTACAGTTTGGCTCAGTTACTGTGTGAGTAATTCGTCCTTTTAGAGTCTACATACTATTTGATCACTAAATTAGTTGACGATTATTTAAATAACAATGGACACCGATCCATTTTCAAAAACGGCTAAAAAACAACAAATGTTTAGGAGTGGAAAAAATATTAAAATACAGACATAAAATTAAATATTTTATTTGGAAATGTTTTATAGTTGAGGCAGAATTTAATTGTATTTTGGGGATTTTACTGCAGTGTTCATGTTTTTGTTTGCTTTGAGGCAGATTTCTTCCATCCGTCGACTAATTAGCAGGTAAACAAATATATATGCCAATTGTCCTAATCGTTTAATAAAACGGGTGGTTAAGAGATTTGGATGTCAGAAACTGGAAATAAATGTTGAAATTCTGACAACTTTTCTTTTTAACTGAAACATTTTTCAGCTAAAAACTTGGGACTGTTTGCAAAGAGATGAAGGAACAAATTGGAAAAAAAATTATATAATGAAATCTGCTTATTTCTTATTTTTGTGTTCAACTGAAAAATGACTAAGTAAATAAATTAAAATAACCAGGTGGAAAAATATTTTTTTAAAAACACACAAACACACCTCCTCTCTTAAGGCTGTGTACGACCATCAGGCATGTGACCACCATCTTGAAGATGAGGTTGTCGGGCAGAACAGGGTATGAACTGTCGCTGTGCTGCGTCTGCTCCTCCTCTTCCTCACTCGGACAGGGTGGAGCGCCTCCGTGTGTCGGAGCCGGAAGGTAAAACAGAACCAGGTTGAAGTCCTCCAGCACCGACTGGCAGAGCGAAGTCAGCTCCGTCTCCATCAAGCTTCATTGGAAGCAAAGCGAAAACAAAAAGCAAAGGGTTGGCGGGTCACAGCTTACAGAACATGTTTCTGATGCACAAGGCAGGTTAGAAACTATAGACAGACTCTTCACTGGTGCTACAACAGAGAATAAAGCCAAGAAGGGAAATAAAAAGTACGGCAGCTCAGAGACTGACCTGTTTTTAGGCTGCAGTAGACTCTGAAGGTACATGAAGCTCACCAGGACACGCTTAATGTCTTTGGATCTATGTAGAAACAAAAAAAATACATTATGAGTTTTTATTATTCTGATTTAAACAGGAAATTCTTTAGTGACACAAAGGCAAGAATAATCGTAGAAAAACAAGCCACCATCTCTGATTCTACAAAAAAGAATAGACAAAAGTTGATTTTCTTTGTGCACGGAAGAGGAAAGGATGGCAAAGAAGTAAATACTAACTGCTAGTTAATCAAAATCATCATTTAATGTTTCCAGATGGTAAAAGAATATAGTTTTACTTGAATAAGACCCAATAGAGACCAGAACAAACAGACTAAAAATCAGTTTCTACCCAAGAGTTGCCCTGAAAATGGCAAATTCATCCAAACTCTTATCATCATTCTTAACAACCCGGTTGTTTCTACTTTATATCCTTAATAAACTCATTTATTTATTTGCACTGCCTTTGAGAGTTGCTATTTTTTTCAAACTTTTTTTTTTGCACAATGACAATGAGAGGCTGTTTTTTTTAGCTTTTAAAGGCTTCTTTGTTGACAGAGTGAAGATGGAAAAGAATAGATTTTCACCAAACACTTTGCTATTTTGACAGATTTTTCAAGAAAACTTTAAACCAAAAATGACTGAGTCAAAAAAAACAAAACAACAAAAAAAAGCTGCATCTTGGGACTCGTCATCACCTTTGCCGAGACGGAGACAGCTTCTTCATTTCCTGTTTCTTCACCTGGTGGTACATCTTGGCAGCTTTGTCGAACAGACGCTTCAGGTTGCCGTAGGCCCCCTCAAACGGAGTATCTGATTGGATGCTGAGGACAGAATAAATATTCGTTTAGCCTCATGTTAAAAAAATGTTTAAAACTGGAGGTTATGGACCCTCACCATCGTAGGTAGTAGTAGGTTGCTTCCACATTGTAGAACTTGCTTCCTGCCAGTGTTCCCAGCTGGTTAAAAGGCATTCCTGCAGAATGGCAGAAAGGTGGTTCAGATTCATAACCGGTCATTGTAGCCCTTTATTCACTCAACTACACGGACGAATGGACCCCAGCTTGGCTCTTTTTGAGGACAACTCAAGTCAGAGGCCACATTCACACTGCACGTCTGAACAGCCCTATTCCAATCTTTTCACCCCCCAAAAATCTGATCTGTGCCAATTTTTATGTCACTGATGTGAGAAATGCGCCATAATTCTGCACCAGAGAAGGACGACATATGCCTGTCAAGATAACAAATTTTGCCGGATGATAAATTGTCCCAGTATTTATTGCAATAAACAATAATATTGTTGTTTTGAGACCATTTTCAAGTGATGTATTGATAACAGCATAATAGTGCAAGTTCACCCTCTCAAACACTAGTTTAAAGACATTTTAAGTATCCAAAGTAAAAAAAAACAAACATAATAAATAAAATGGAAATAAAAACTGCAAACATCCAAATGTTAAAATTAAAAAAAATATTAATCAGAATGGAAATGATCAATCTCAATTTCATCTATCATGTGATTAATTGATTAATTGCTTATTGTGACGGGCTAAGCCAGACAGCATATAATCAGACGGACACAACGGCTGAAAATTACGCATCACATTACAGTCCCACCACTCCTGGTCCGACTCCACATCCAGACAGACTTCTCTACTGAAGCTGCAGTGAATGCTCCACTAAAGGTTGCTGCTGCTAGCTGTGCCTTTCTGTTATTACCTTCCTTGGTCTAGATAAGTTTTATCCTGTCGACTCCTGTTGCTGAACAACTTTAAAACTATCCATAAATGGTGGCGTCTATTTTTACTTCCATAAACAGACTGATGCTGCTGCGTGATGTCAACGTTCTTCTTCTGCACATCCAGGTCGCTTTGGGGTCGTTAACCGTTCACACAGAAGTCTCATTGTTGTTTTTAATTAGTAAAATGAACAAATGCAAAGGAATTGAAGTCAAATCATGAATCATGACTCACCAACATGGGGCATGACAGACAAGGCTTGGTGGTAAAATCTCTCTGCCAGCTGCTCAGCTTCCACTCCAGCAAGTTCATTCTGATAGCGCGCTGGTGACCAAACCAGATTACCAAACATTATTGAAAACATACAGACAACAAATGAGCAAAACTGTGAAAACTCTACTTTTATTAAATTCTGACATTTCTAATAACTGAATAAACGTTATTCCTCTTCTCAGACAGCCTGTTCTCACTTCCTTCTATAACACCAGGCCAATTTTCCCACGCACCGGCGATGACACCCACTGGCTGCCTCACACCTCTACAGACATGGAATAGAGATGAGCCGATCTAAATATGCTATTAACATGTTATTACCCAGATCTCCGAGGTAGACCAGACAGCGATGACACGCCATCTGAGCCCACTCCATCTCTCTAGAAGAGGCCGACACGGGTTTCTTCCGACCTGTTGGAAATAATTAGACTTCAAGTCAAAACTGAAGTGAAGTTAGTTCCAAAGAAAGAAGCTAAAACCCCATCAGAGGGTTTTAGAATTAAAAAATGTGGCTTGATGAGCAATAAAAACTGTAAATGCTGATAAAAACCCCAAACAGAATCCGTACTAGATATAATCCTGATTCAGAAACTAGCCAGTAGTTTGACCTGAAGAAGCTTTTTGAGGAATAAAACTACTGATTCAGACTTTGAAGTCTGAAGGATTCAGCAAATGAATCAGCAGACATGCAGCTGAAGCTGCAGGACAAATTTCACGGCCCCTGAACTCCAGCGACAGTCATTATGTCTTTCAAAGCAAAACGCAAACTTATAGAATCAGGAGAAGAAAAATCTGAACTGAGATATTATATAGATTTATCATACAGAAATAAAGAGCAAACCACTTAATCTGAAAAATGTTTGGACAAAAATGTATTCCATGAAGTGATTTTAATGGTTCATAGATTTTACAAGCAGTGACTTTGTAAATAGATCCATTAAAATGAAACAAGAGAAGTAAAATAACTCTTAAATGACATTGGTGTCTCTGGTGAATTTTAGTCTAGGTTTTTCCAAAAATACCCAAACTGAAGCCAGAAATGATTAATCTAAAGCTTTATGTGTTTTTGTTTAGGGAAGAATTCAACGTTTGAGATCTCACCGATCAGAGGATCAGTGACGTGCGTCCAATCAATGCAGTCCTGCAGCTCCAGCTGGTAATGTGATTGGATGTAGAGCAGCAGATGTTGGTAGAAACCCACGCCGGCGATGAGGTGCGTTCTGTAGGCGCACTCCAGGGCACTGCGGCTGTGGATGTGCTGAAAGCAACAGGAAGAAAAAATGAGGTAGGAGCAACATGAAGAGCTAAAAATGCAAAATGGAGGGAGAAAAGTAACAAAAAACTAAAGTCATATACAGATATGTTTAATATCATATACAGATATGTCAAAACTCCTTCATAATGTGTTACACACAAACTCAAGTTTATACTTCTTGTTGTGTTTTCTCACGTCAGACTTAAATCTAGACATGGACCCGATTTAATCCAGAACTGGAACAGATTTAATCCAGAAATGGAGCAGACCTTAAAACCAGATCTGAAACATATTTAATCCAGATATGAAACATTTTGGTAACACTTTTTTGAAGGGGGTTGAATAAGACTGTCATGACACTGTCATAAACATGACATAACACCTGTCATGAACATGAATAAGCCTTCATGAATATTTATGACTGTTGTCATAAAGCATCATTCGGTAAATTATGACATTTTTAATACAAAGTTGACATTATTTAAAATGTCTTTGTTATGACAAATTGACATTTACCAAGAAATCATTACTGATATAAATTTGTTATAAAAGTATTACTGATTGCACTTTAAAAATTAGGTAACTTTATGTTATTAAAGGTAAAGTTTAAACAGTAATGATTTTTTGGTTAATGTCAAGTTGTCATAACAAAGACATTTTGAATAATGTCAACTTTGTATTAAAAGTGTCATAATTTACCGAATGACGCTTTATGACAACAGTCATGAATATTCATGAAGGCTTATTCATGTTCAAGTGTCATGTCAGTCTTATTCAACCCCCTTCAAATAAAGTGTTACCAACAGATTTAATCCAGGTCTGAAACAGATTTAAATTTAGAACAAGAATAGTTTTAATCCAGACCTGGAACAGACTTAAACCTAGAATTAGAATACATTTTAGTCCAGACGCGGAACAGATTTAATCCAAACTGGGTAGGAATCCTGTGTGTCGCTCTGTTAATCTATATAATTCCAACAGCTGCTTTGTCACCAAAGAGACATTTCCACAGCTGCTGAGTGACTTTTTGCCATCTTACCTTTTTGTTCGTCTTGATAACCTGGATGACCTCATAGTAAACCTTCCTCCAGAGCAGCTCCTCGGCCTTACGGCCGTAGTCAACAGGATGCAGAAACATTAATTTCACACAAAGCTCTCTCAGCCTAGGAAAAACAAAAACATACAACAGATGAACACACGGATAGCTTTATGCAACAGTTGGAGGTGTTGCTACAAGAAAATGCAACCACAGCTCCTAATTATCATTATTTTTTTATTTTATGGAGACAAAAATTAGGCTGAACAACAGGCAACATGAGATATACATAGCTGTTGCTAAAATCCAGTCTATTCACAGAAGAAGTCAACATGTCAGGCAGTTAGAGACAAATGGTATGTTGGGGAAAGCGCCATAAATTAGCCAAAACTTGCTGCAGTCCCATTATGCATCAAACCTGAGAGAAGCTTAATCTAGATGACTCAACAGTAAGCAATATCAGCCAATTAGCTTTTTAAATTTAAAAATAATATATTAAGTATGTCTTTAATGCTTTTCAGTCAGGATTTTGACCAAAACAGCACTAAGAGTGCAATGACAAGTACTGATGGTGTCACAACAAGTAAGTAACATATTTCTGCAGCAACTTTCACAGTCATATAGTTCACAAAATGATTCAGAAAGGCAAAACGATTGAAACAAAAACAAAACATTAAACAATAAAAACGCTATAGATCTGTTAGTTTTATTAGACCTCGTTCATAAGAGGATTGCCACCCAAATGTATCTACAGATACTTAAACATTTAAGTGTGTCACAAATGTCTCTAATTCTTGATGGTCTAATGAATAAATAAGACAAGTCTGACTGTCTGAACTTCCTTTAAAACAGGAAGTGCTGCAGAGTGACGGTGCATTTGTATAAAACCAGTCACCATTCAGCCTGTAAAGTTTCGGTGAGAGCAGATCTGGACATACTTGTTCCGCAGGCTGATGTTCTCCGGCTTGAAGACTTCTCTGTAGGATGACTTACTGCCGATGATGACATCCAGCTTGTGCACAGACTCCACCACAGCCCTGGATGAAAAGCATTACTGTCATCACATGAATCACCAGAAGTAGCAGTTTGTCACGCAACAAATGTCCTGAAATGTTAAAAAGCTGCAACCCTTTCTGTTTCATTTCTCTGCAACAGGATGAATGACACACGACAGCCAGCTTACGTTCATCAGAGGAAAAAAAGAACCTCATGACAGAGTCAGGTGCAGTTTCAGCTACTAGCATAGATGTATCTTAAACATAACTATCAACAACAGAAACCATCAGACTCGTTTAGACATTTTACTAGCTCATCGGTTAGCTCGACGAAAACGGCCTCGTCCACTCACCTGTAAAGCCGCTTGATAAGAAGGACTTTCGCCTCGGGCTCGCTGTCCTGACCCGGTCCGCTCATATTAGCGACAGGCCGGCAGTTCCACCACACTGCGGGGTCACCGTTTCATTCGGGCCTCTCGACGGAACAGCTGTCGCGGTTATTCGGCTCTGTTCCCCGTTAGTGACAACTGTGTTGTTAGCCAGCTAGCGTTAGCTCCCCGCTTAGCTTTCCCTGTGTTCCCTGAGAGTCTCTTTCTGTCTCTTGAATCCTTTGGCCAACCCCCCTCCACCCATCCGTCCAGAAAAGTGGGTAGGAAGGGGTCCCCGGAGCCTTACGGTTCTTCCAGTCAGCTAAAAAGCTCTATTATCCCTTTTGTGTTATTTTCCGTTCCGGCCATCGCTACGAAGGCGGCCATTATTCATAGCAAGCACTGACCGCCTGAATATCGCGAGAGTTCAAAAACAAAATTACGAGATTACAGAAGTGAGACGTCAACAACTTCGCCATATTGGTAAGGGAAGACAAGTTGAAAAAGACCAGCTTTAGCCTTTAACAGCGGTCACGACACGTGCATTTCTGATGGTCTTTAAGTGTATTGCGTTCCAACAATATACAACGACTTGTATCGATATGTACACGACGGCATACTGGGCAGACCCATTAAACCACGTAAACTTCATAAAATTTGAATTATCAAACAAGTTTTATTTGGTCAAGAGTGAATTTTAAAATTCCTCCTAAGTGTAAAGCGAAGAATGTGTAAAGCAAAATAAATAAAAATACAAAGATATTACTCAAACACAGGTTTCCTCCCGTTGTCCTTGCACAGCTGATAAAAGTTGTGTTTCACATTGTTCACCGTTATGTACTTTTCTCTTTCAAGAACGCTTGCATTGCACACTTCAGCAACAAGGCATTTTTAAGGAATGTTTAACATCTATTAAGTAGGCATATCTAGACTGAGATCCTGGAATGGAGAGCTGTCCATGGTGCTGCAGTGGCTCAGTTTCAACTTACTGCTAAGAAAGATTAAAGGTTTCCTATCTTGCTGCTATTTGTGTTTTAGTAAGTGATGATTTTTTGCGAAACTGGCCAATCAAAGGTCTGTTTGAAATTCTCCATCAGCTACTTTACATCATATTTTAATAAGTATTTGTAAATTAATTCAGTGACCTCTAATATACTTTATGATTTTTTTTCAGTAACCGTGAGTCAATTTTGACAATATATATGGTATAACTGGTGCTATGTAGTTCAGTATATCTGAGTGGAATCATCTTGTAAGCCACATCTGAACCTTTCTTATAAAGAAACTGCATGACATTTTCACTGTAGAGCTGTTAAGGCAGTCATAAAAGCTGTATGTCTCTAAAGACTTGCATAAGTTGATAGCTATTATTACTTTTAGGTTTTCAATTGCTTTGTAATTTCTCCTACTTGTCAGCAGAGGTCTGCAAAGATATGCATTATTGTGCATCCCTATAATCCATGGCTAGAGCTGGAGAGACATGATTTCCTTTAAGGTTTGGCCAGTTACAATGGGAAAATGTAATAAAACATGAAAATAATTTCTGCACTAAAGACTGGGATAATTCTTTTTGCTTGATATGTGCAGATCTGTTAATAGTCCTGTTTTTGTTTCCATTAAAAAATGAACAAAAAATGATCTTACTGTCACATCATTTCAGGATATTAGAGAACATTTAATAAAAGGTAACATCATTGCACTGTTTGGTGTTATTAGACATCTAAGATGGAAATCAGGACATAAAATGTCCCCTAAAAGGAGACTGAACACTTTACAAGTGTTCCTGCTGGGTGAACCATGCTCTTCCACTGTGTTGTATTCTTCCAGTTCTTTCTAATGTCACGTGTTGCCAGACTGCCTGAAGGTCTCCAGGCGATCAGCATTGGGAGGGTAGCACCCTGACAAGCATGCTGTGTTCTGCTGAATCCCCTCATCCTGGGTCCATCATCACCCTCGGCACACTGGCTGGGGACAGCATGAAGAAACGATCAACTCAGCTCCTCTGAGAGCAGAATCACAGAAGAAAAACGTCTGTTGCTGCGGGTGAGTGGGGATCGTTATGCAGCTCCAAACAGGAGAAACTCACTGTGAGGTTTTCACACATCCAAACACTGGATGGATTGAGTCAGCATGAAGAAAAAAACCCTGATCCATGGGATTTGTTAAAATCAGTCTGTCTTTAAGTGTCTACATCATTCCAACTTGGCATTGTTGCATCTTTCTACGTTCTGCTTCAGAGTTGCAAACTGCTTTCGTAGAGTTGGTCACAGTGATGACAATCAGGTAATTTTCACCTCTTTGCTACTTTCTCTCATAAATCTAGCGAAAGCAACAAGGGCGAACTTAGTTTTTCTTCAGACAGAGATTTTGATTTTGGATTTTTTTTTTATTTCAATAAATAATAAAGATAAAGATTGTACATGTATTACTTTTCCTCAGATATGCCGATTAAAACATAAAATATCATGAAATTCAAGATCAAACTGTCACTTTAGTTTTTTTTATTATTGTTTTTTTTTTATTCTAGATGGTTTGTGCTGCCTGGAGTGCTGATATAGTTTTATTGTGTGTTGTTTTATTTTTATCTATGCACAGGGAGAACATGCAAACTCCATGCTGTAAGAGCTAAGGACCTTTTTGCAGGTCTGATAACTGCGCCACTGTCCAGCCTCTTTATTTTATAATAAAGTATTTAAATTCAACTCCTTGATTTAAAAACAACACACTACAAGGTAAGAATTCAAATATCTTTTTATTTATTAATTTAATTATGTATTTCTATCTCCGCTGTCACCCACCCGAAAAATAGAAATTGCGGTGTGTTCAAAAAAAAAGAAAAAAAAAGAAAAGAAACAATGCCATCTTTTTCAACTGCATCAATAATCAACAAAATCAAAGAGGCAATGATTATTATCATTATTACAATAATAACTCAACTAGCAGAATATCCACATTCATAACAAATCCATATATAACTGCAAAACACTCTTCAACACCACTCTTCCATTAATATACACAAAATCCCCAAAGGTCTGTCCTGGAAAAACAACAATAGAGGAGATCTGAGGGGGAAAAGGGGCTATGGCTTGTAAAGGAGGGTGTGAACATGTGTGACCAGCAGAGATAATGGATCTATGGTTAGTAAGAGTATATGGAGGAGGCACACTTATTTAGTTAGGACCTATACAAAAACAAGCAGTTTTAAGTAATAACGGTATGCTTTCATGGACGGATTTGCCTGCATAAAACGGTTCCATGAGCGCAGGATTTGGGGAGCAAAATTTCAAGAAACATATATAAGGGTTGTCAGATTAAATATATACCTATGAATGACAACCACCCTCAAACATATATCATAGAAACCAAAAGTGATAGAACTCAAAGCAAAGTTGAGAACATTTTAAATAAATGCAAATGAAAAAAAAAAAAAAATGGTTTCGGTTTGACCATAATATGTACAAACAATGCTTGCTCACCCAAATCTTATCTAAAAAAGCTTTTTAAGTTGGTCAGAAAATGAGTGCAAGCTTAAGATTATGTGAGTAGCTTCTTATTCGAGAACGTAGCTAGAAGTGACAGACCTGGCTGATATTCTAAGTCTGCGTGTAAAAAGTGCCTCTGATAGCTGTCAGTATTACGTGTAAAAACCTTTTCATGCCTCGGTGTTTGGAACTTGAGAAGACCTAGTCATACAAAGAGAGAGAAACATTAGAGGAAAAAAATAACTGTACACTCTGCATGTACAAACAAACTATATACACACAGACATACCATATATACACACACATGTCCAATATGTACACAAGATTTAGCCAACACATACGCACATTTATACATTTATGTATTTACAAACACATTCACTCGTTTCAGCAGGACCTCTAACATATCTCTCTCTGTTCTCATGTCAGGCAGAAATGGCAGGGATTTTTTTTATTCAGGTCAGACTGGTGTCAGCGGAGTCCAGCTGCAGAAATAAATGAGTAGTTTTACAGCAATTCGACTGGAAATATGGCCACAATGAAAACAACAAGTTCATCCCCCCTGCTCTGGTCAAACTCTACACAATACACAGTCAGCGTGAAGCAAACGTCCGCATCCAACGGCTTTTCAAATCGTCCATAAATGGAGAGCTCCTCGGCGATTGTTGGACAGAAAACATCCGCTGACGTGTCTTTCTATAATATTTTTTTAAATATTAATACCCAAAAATAAAGAGCAGGCTGGTCACAGCAACGTGCAAACTGTCGTATAGGGGGAGTAGGTAGAACACAAGTTCGTCCCTTCAGTGCTTTAGAGCAACTTTGTTCTCCATCAGATTGTCTCAGTATGAAAACTCGGTTCATATAAAATGGATCGCTCCATCGGATTTTTATCAAGAAATAAATATCTCCTCCAGAAGGTGTCTGATAAAGAGTTTCTTTTTCCTTTAAATACTATAATAAGAGTAATCCGTTATAGAAATATAAATAACATTCTGTCCAGTTTTTCCAAAGTCGTCTTTGAAGCAAGATTTTTTGTTCCTCAGCAGTTTTTGAAATAGGCTGTGCATATTTAGTTTCCTTTTAAAATCAAACTCCGAAAAAGAGGAAAAGCTAAAATATAAAGTCTGTCAAAAATCAAGAAAAAAGACTCAAAATTTGTAATGATAGAGCTAAGGAGAGGGAAATGAAAGGTTTAAATATGAGTCAGCTTGGACTGAAATAACAAGAGAAGTCAAGCACCTTTGAAATACACTTTAGGTCTCTCTCTCTTACTTTGAGAACCACGCTGTCCTTGGCCTGTGTTCCTCCGTTCTGCTGATTGATCAGACTGCATAGCTGTTCTTTGCATGCTCGGCAGGCTTACAAACACCAAAGTATGTCCAGCCCACCTTAAGTAGGTGAAAAATGGATCCAACAATGAGGTGTCAAACACATTATTTTCAATCCCTTTGTCAAATCAGAGAGAGAGAGGGCCCAAGTAAAGTGAAAAAAAAAAGAAAGAAATCCCAGCATTTCCTTACATGGTCCGCTGGGGGATTGCACCATCCCTAGAGACAAGAGAATAGGACCAACGGCCCAAGTTCTCCCTTTGTCAGCCAATCGCGTCACGAGAGAGGGCTCTGGACATTTGGCCATGCCACCCCGAAGACTGCCGATGGTGCATCAGCCAATTAGGTTCCACATTGTCCTCCATGAAGCTTTGAGAGTGGCTAGAAGGGGGAGAAAAACAAGGGGAGACACAGAGAGAGAAGAAACGGGGCAGAGGTGCTTGATCAGGTGCTGTTAAAGCATAGATATCGAGCGGCAGTCTCTCCAAAGCTGGACTCATCCTGTTTTTAATTATTTGAGTGTGTGTGTTAGCATTCAGCTCTGAGGCAACTGCTTGTTTACCTGAGTCACTGAGGTATTTTCACAGCAATGTTAATCCAGGATTATTCATCACACAGGTAGATTTCACACTGAAAGGAGGAAGTAGCCCTACGTGTCCCTGCGTTAAGACTGCTAGTGTGTTTACGTTTTGGTTCAACATTCACTGGTTTTAGGATGAATCTAAACTAATTACTCTGACCTCCTCTCGGATCACACGCCACATTTAAACAGAATGTGAAGCAGACTGGGAAAACACACAAATCTTACAACAGACAGTTCAAAATGAAAATGAATATGAATGCATGTTAGAAACACTTCCAACAGCAGTGTTTTTAGGCATTTTACACACACGACACAACATTTATTCTCAAAATCATGTCAAGTTATTCTAATAAACGTCAGATTCTCTTTTAAATAAACACATCTGATCAAAATAAGAACATTTTAAAATCTTTTTTTTAAAAATGTGGGTGCAATATAATACTTTGAAACAAATCAACCCTTTGGTTGAGCTCGTCTAAGCACATTGATCTCAGGCACTTAATGGCTAATCTAAGACAATCTATATAGTTATAAATTATCTATTATATGGAAAAATATTATTTAATACATTCCACTGAACAACCATTAACATCACTTGTGTTTATCTGCACTTAAAGAAGCAGTTTGAGGAGAAGTTCGATTGCTGTCACTCAAAGTGAATTAAATGAGCTTTTACTGTAACATGAAATTAAATAACTTGCTCATTTTTCTATCCTAAATTAAGAAGCTGCTTTTGGTGACCTTAAATTCAACCAGATATTGAAATAGTGCACTTCTAGAGAGGGGGGAAAACAACCCCATCAGACATTGGAGCAGAACAGGATGCAGAGAACAGAGACAGAGGCACATCAAGAACATGTTGCAGGGGGAGGGGGAGACAGCGAGGCAGTGGTATGGCAGACACACAGACAGCTCACTTGGTAAAATGGCACCATTTGTTTCTGTTTAGCACCAGTTTGTCATGTATCAGTTCTGAGATTGAGAAGAGAAAAAATGCACGAGCTCATTCCGGAAACAAGTAGTCCCTTAGGTTGAAGAAAGCAAAACAAAAGTTTCCCAAAGTGTTTTTCTGTAACTCAGATCCTAGAGCATGACCCTCTCAGCACATCATTTAAGTCTCCTTCTAACAAAGCTAAGGTGGATGCCCATGTGCACATCTGTAGTTAAACCCTGTTGAAAAACTCTCAAAGGCACTAGGAAAAAAGCCAGAGCTCATCACCGCGTCTCTCCCGTGAAAGACTGCAGGCTGGCTGTTCAGGATAGCGATGCGCCTTTAGTACCTTGCAAACATATTCATACTCCTTGCACTTTTTTTACATTTTCTCATGCTACAACCACAAAAGTCAATGCACAGGGATTTTATGTGATAAACCAACACAAAGTAGAGATTTAAGGAAACTGGAGATTTGTGGTTTTAAAACATTAAAACCAAAGTAACATTTCTAAAAAGTAAAGCATTTGTATTCATACCCTTTACGATGATGCCCCTAAATAAAGTCAAACCAAACTAATTACGTTTAAAAGTTACATAATAAGTAGGCTCCATCTGTGTGCAGTTTAATCTCAGGATAAATCCAGATTTGCTGTGAAGTCTTCAGCATGGTGAACCCAGCAGGAAGGTCAGTGAGGAAGTTCTGGAGAAGTTTAGGTTATAAAGTAACGTCCAAAGCTTTGAACGTCTCACAGAGGAGTCTTTAGTCCGACTTCTGGAGGTGGAGAGAGGATGACACAAGACATGGACGTCCATCTAAAATGTCAGGTCAGGCAAGGAAGCATTAATCAGAGGCAGCCGAGAGCACCATGGTGACTCTGGAGGAGCTTCAGAGCTCAGGTAGAATAGTCTGTCGACAAGATAGCTCTTAGTCATGCAGTTCACAAATCTGGTCTTTATGGAGGAGAGACAAGAAGAACTTAACTGACAGAAGCCATGAAAAGGTCTCAGAAAACATTTTGGATCTGGCCAGACTAAATTTGATCTTGGGCTACATGCATCGGGGTTCATCGTCCAGCAGGACAGTGACCCTCAACATACTGCCAGAGCATGAATGGAAAGCCATAGTCATGTGTTGGATGGTCTAGTCAAAGTCCAGACTCTAGGAAATTGTGACAAGACTTAAAAGCTGATGTTCACAGATGTTCTCAACAATCTTAATCTCTAGATGTGCAAAGCTGGTTGAGATGTTCCACCAGGCTTGCAGCTGTAAGTGCAGCTAAAAATGACTCTGCTAAACTCTGGGACTTGTCTACAAATTGATCTGAAATATTAAAAAAAAACTTCACAGTTATGCACAAATTTGTGTTGGTCACATAAAATTCCAGGAAAAACACATTTAAGTCTATTGTTGTGACGAAATGAAATGGAAAAAGGTTTAAGGAGTATGAATACTTTTAAAAGGCACTGCTGGTCCATGGGTTTACAGCTTGTACTGCTTCCTTTTTTAAAGGCTACTCTGAAGTCTTTGGGGTGCAAGAGTTTAGTGCTCAATCCTTATGTGATGGAGTCAAAGAGAGGCGATGGATTCAAACAGCAGGTTGCTTTGTGTGACAGACTCAAAGTAGGTGCAAAGTATCGTGATCTTGTCCTGCAAGACCAAGACTATTTAAAGCTCCATGTGAGCAGCAAGTCCATTGAAGAGCCCTTAGTGTTAATGTGTTATGCATTATACAGGGTGATTATTATTTCTCTCCCTCACAGTGTTCTTCTCTCTCTTGCCCGGGTCATAAGGACACATGTATGTTTTCAAGAAAGTCTTTTTTTTTTGTATAAAATGGAAACAAAACAGGAGTAGGGGGGACAGTTTTGTCCTTTGTGCCATCTCTCTCTGATTTGGCTCCTCGCTGTTGTGTTTGACCTACTCCCCCCTTTAATCTGCGATTCCCGTAGTTGCCGTTGCTGTGGTTCCAGTTGCCTGTGAAGTTGTCTTTAGATTGCCACGGAGCTCTTCATTCTGACTAAGTTGTGAATCAGGGGTGGGTGAGGAGGGAAGGTCTACAATTTGGGGGAGGACTCCATTGTGGGGCGATGTGTTGGAGAAAATGCCAGAGGAAGAGACTGTGGGGCCTTGATCGTTGGTAACCGCTCCTCCTTGTTCTCCTCCTCCTCCTCCTCCTCCTCCCCCTCCACCATCAGTTTTCACACCGGGGTCTGCTGAACCCAGGGAGGAAAGCTGGTCCTCCTAGCGAGATAGAGAGAGAGGGGAAGGAAAAGAGGAGTGGGAGCAGGGAGAAATGGTCGTAGGAGAAATGCCATTCAATGAACGATGGAAGGGATGATGGATTATAAGGATATGTCCAATTAAGTCAAGTTGAGAAAATAATATTAAGAGCCGGAGGAGAAAAGCAGGATCAATCAGACAAAAATGGGAAGAGAAAAAAGAAAGAAAGTTTGTGATTTGAAGTGGTGAAATGTCAACATTTAAACGGAGTAAGAGTTGGTGGAAATGGAGACATGTAAAAGTGGTGATCAAAGCAGAAACCAAGAGGGAATCATAAAGTAAAAAGAAATGATTAGGGATCAGAGGAGGAGACACAGAGAGAGGAGAGAAAGAGCCAAATGAGTTACGAGGTCGATGCATGACGAACACCAATAGAAATGGCAGCACAGGAAAAGGGACACAGAGAAAGAGGAGATGAAGGGGAATTAAAATTCTTCACGGCCAAAAGGTCCTGATTCTCCTGGGATGAGAAGTGAGGAGTGTTTGTCGTGTGACGGGCATCAGGCAAAGCCAGGAGGTTCCCATACCGAAGAGCAAAATCCACTAAATATCATCTACATGTTCTTACATGACCTGGAAAACTTAATCACTACAGAATAATAATTAAAAAAACATCTTAATTGTACTAAAATACTAAAGGCTTAGCTTATACTTGTAAACATGCAAGCCACATTGATGCCAGCACCAGATTTAAGAAGCATAAAAGCATAAAATCCCAAAAATTACTATAAAGACCAAACAGAGCCAAACTACAGCTGACAGCGCTGCTGCATGGATTCACCAAGTAGCTTAAAACCTTAAGAAGACACAATGCCTTTTAAAAAAATCATATTAAAGTTCCCATGAAACTGCTTTTAATTGGTAAACGTCTTGCTCTCCCTCATCTAATGCTCTGGAACAGTTCTGGTAATTATCAAAACTGTCTCTGACAAATTGTTTGCTGACTATGACTAGAGCTAAACTTGGTCTAAAAGAAAGTTTAGCCAAAGTCCAACTCGAGGTTTGAATGCCTAATTCACTACTGCACTGAGCAGAGTTTGACAAGACTAATATATTACACTGCAAAAAAAAAAAAAAACATCTCTAATTTATGTTTTGCGCTTCCCAGACAACTCAATGTAACAATTTTAACATTTGTTAAAGTGGCAGTACAAAATGTCAAAGACAATTACTGTCAGCTCCAGGAAAATATCATCTTTTGGAAAATATCATCTTTTGGTGCATTTTGAGTGGTTGCAGTGTTTACCCTGCTTTTTGGGTTAAATATGAAACAGACCATTTAACATTATTGCTCCCATTCATTTGGCTCAGGCATTTTTGGAAAAATGCTTAATAACTTTAAATAATTATTATGATGGAGAAATTAATTGGTTAAATTTGACATCATTATTCTAGGCTAATTTTTCAGTTTGTTTTCCCCTGAAGCGTCTTTACATGTCAGATATGACATGTAAAATTATCATGGTATGACCTAAAGGAAAGACAGAAAGGTTTTCATTCAGGCATGACATGCACACATTCAGCTGCTGTCAGACTGATGGAAAGCATGTCTAAAGAGGGGCTGCGTGAGCAGACTCAACTTTGGTATACATTTCATGGGAACTTTAAGGCTTACCCTTTTCTAGCAAGTGAAAAACATCAGGGTGAGGTCACTCCTTACACGGGCCTGAAAGAGGGAGTTTGAGTTGTTTGAAGTGGAGTTCTGTTGAGTTGTTGTTAGCCCTGAGGATCTCAGTATCTCAGCAAACCAGTAAAAGTTTTGCCATAAGAGGGCTATGAGAAAATCAACATAAGATACCCTACCAGGGGCAGTTTTGCTACAGTGGCAAATTTTAGATGTCAAGAAAGATTAAGTGCAGTTCAATACCATTCACAATAACTACCAGTCCAGTCAATGTCTGGGTTAAGAATACCTGGGCCAAATTATAGGACCAGTACAGAGAGCATGGGGTCTTATGTCATGTTGCTTAAACTAGAATTAGATACATGAAGGTCCTTCCTTTGGGTTAAGCTTGTGCAGAAGTTTGAGCGGACAGCAGCAATATCACTGAGTATAGATCGAGGAACCACATTCTTAAGTGTGGCTAGACTACACCTGGGAGCCACTCTTACATAGTCAGCAGCTAACAGGGAACAGCTTAATTACAATTTCCCAACTCATTGACTTTCTACTGTGGTCAAGAAAGTGATTTCCCTTTACCTTCGGGTCGAGGAAATGGATCATCTGGAGAGATGCAGTGTGTCAAAGCATACAGCCAAGATGAACTTAAAATGTCTTGGAGAGATTTCATTCCATCTAACTCCAATCTTGAGAAGGATATTCTGTTATCAGAATGTGACAGATGTGAAGCATGAGTGGCCAATGTTATAGGATGCCATTCCTTTTTAATGGATGCTAATGCTGATAATGCTGTTTATTTCTAATACCTAAACTTGGTGTTATATACCTAATGTAAAGATGAGCACCAGGCTAAGCCCCCTATTAAATTTTGAAGCAAGGCTTGTGCAGCTTCAAAAGAAGCTGGACAGCACTGGCAGATAATGGGAAATGAAAAACTCAAATGTGAAAAGAAAAAAGCCTTTTGGTCTGCCTCAAGCATCATCCGCTGACGGAAGTTGTGCTTTTCCAACAGTACTTTAAATGTAGAAAGATAATATTGACCTTGACTAGACCGATACATCTTTAGTCTTAAAACATCAACGCGGCTGTCGCTGGCACTTAGGTATTCAAGGTAGTTAAAATATCCTGGTGGTGGAAAGGACAAAAAGATAGCAGAGATCCTAGTGGCTCCTCTTATAAAGCAAAGGGGCTGCGTACTTTAACTTTGAGGAAATCCTCATTCTCAGCCTCCAAGTTAAAGTTTGTTGTGAGGAAATGAAAAGTTCATCTAACTTATATTCACATTTTAGATTCAAGAGCTTCAATGCAGATCTCAAAATGGCCATGAAACACTAGACTAGCTTCTAACTTTGCAAGGAAAATTGAGGCGTATATGGAAGTTTTCTCAAGCAGATTGCTTTTGTTAATTCAGAGAATGCTTAGTACTACACAAAGAAGAGGAGTGGTGTTTTAGGTCCCCTACTCAGTGACATTTGGCTCTGGAGTAGGAGAATGATTGGCACTGCTGGTAAAAAGTCAGACTCATTGATTGGAAAAAAGCCTGTCTGCCAGAGGGGAGACGGTTTTTGGTTTGAGGGACTTCATCTTTACTTGCTGGATTTGGTGGATAATGGTCCAGTGCCCACTTCAAAAGGGGACCTCAGCAGGCACTGCTTGAAGCTAAAGTTGAAGCTGATGTACTTTCATCATTGTTGAAAGTATATTAGCTGATCTCAGTTAAGCAAATCATGTAAGGATGGAACCAGCCCCAATATGACAACCTGTTAGCTTTATGATCAGGTCAAAACTTCAGTTTCTTCAACCTGTGATGGTTCAAAAAACTACTCATCAGTTAGGATACTAAATAATAAATCTAATCCCTCCTCCACTTCAAACACTCCTATTTCTTCATCTAACAGTTTGCTGGTACATCTTGAAATTGTCTGGCATGGATTTGTTTGGAAATCTCTTTACCAAGCCCCTGAAAACCTGCATGCATGAAATCATTTTATGTTACATAAAAGAGACATGAATTATTGTAATGCAAGTGGAATGAAGTGCTGTAAAAGAGACAGAAAGGAAGGGAAACAGCTTGCATCCAGTAGAAAAAAATAAAAGATTAAAAGCAAATTATCAGCAGATAATTTTTAATCTCGTGGTTGTGATCGCTGTGAGTGGAAGGGTTTCTGTTTTGCTTAAAAACATGAGAAAAAAAAACAACAAAAAAGATTAAGTCTGCCCCCCAATTTCTTTTAATGTGAACTACCAGGCCTTTTCTCTTCTCAATCAGAACCAAATGAATGAAAACACTTTGCTAACTGGTGCTATAAACAGTAATAGGATGCCAGTAACACAACCTGAGTGACAACTGTCCAGTTACTCAAACACAACCAACAGTGTAGTTTAATACCCATGTGTAGAATGATACACATGTCTATTAAACCCAGAGATCAAGCAGGTGAACAAACGCATGGCAAAATGTTGACTGACATCCTTTTTAACTTACCAAACTTGCTTGGCTCTTTGTGGCTGTGGTGTTTAACTACATAATGCATTTAATTAGAGTGTTGTGGTCTTTCTGTTTAAAAGTAATGAGCTTTTCAGTACTGGAGACAGAAACACAGCACATTTAGTGGAGCCCTGAAATGTTAGGGTTTATGTAAGGACACAAGTGTGCACAAAAAAGAAAAAAACATATCTTACACATCACCTCTGTCTACTCCAATTTGGAAGGAGGATATTTAAAGAAAAGTGTTCAATCTTTCTCACCCCAATGTTTGAAATTAAAACCTGTTGTATTTCTGGGCTTCATCACTAATAAGACTTAAAACTCTTTGCCTTGGAGCAACAAGCTTTCTGGTTAAAAAACTCTAACTTCACAGCAAAAGAATCGAACATCAAAATACAGAATGAGTGTTGGACATCGTCTGACACAGTAACAGCTGGCTTACATCAACAACCAACCAAACACAATTAGGTGCTGGACACAAACACAAAACACATAAATATTCGAACACAAACTCACTGAAAGACACAGAAAACACAGAAAACATGTGCACAGTAATCAGTGTTCTTTGGGGAAGGATTGGGACAGATACGGAGATTTCACATAATTCCCAGTGTTTATCAGAGGGTGTGGGGGTGATGGAGATGCTGGGGTGTAGAGGAGGCGGATGCACCCTGAAGGCAAATGTATGCATGTGTGTATAGGAAAGCATGATAACTAAAAGAAAACCAACCAAAACATGGTATTTCAGGACATAAGCTACAGCTAAAAGAGAAGCAATATAGGAATTTTAATAACTTACAGACAGATTCACTGACAAGAATGGGAATGTTTTAAAAGCTCCATTTTGGGCAAGAAAAAAACGCCTAAAATATTAACATTTAATTTCACATGTCTTGCTCACAAATCTGTACTGAAGTTCGTGGAGCCACAAAACAAGTGCCTGTGTGCATTTGGTTTTGTTTTTCTTTCAAATTCATTTTTATTGTATTTGTCAAACACTCTTTACAATTCATACCAAATGAATAATGTTTTTTTAATTTGTAAAAACCATAGAAGAAAAAAAAAACTGTGCTGTATCTCAGACACAAAAACCCTCTGCATGTTTGTCTTCTCTATGATATTTGTCTATAGTCTTCCTCTTTTCTTCCTCCATGGCAGCTCCTTCTTCATCATTCTTTGTCTAATATATTCACTAACTCTCTTCTGCACATGTCTCAACCATCTCTTGTCTTTCTAACTTCCTTTGCAAACTGCTAAACCTGAGTTTCCATCCATCCTTCCATCCGTCCATCCATGGATGGTTATCAAAAGTTATCAAAATGTTTTTTGCTACATCAAAGTATGTGGCTGTGACCAAACCTCAAAATCAGACAATTCGCCATGAAACATGGCAGAATAACTTAATAATGGAATAATAATCCATCTGATATGTACAAGATGTCACTACTTCCAGCTCCCTCCTTGTATCCTACTTTCAGCTACCTGTTTTTTTTCCAGCATGTGGATATAAGTAATGTTCACTGATATCCACTTGTAAGAGTGGATATAAGTTCACATTACTGCAGACAAAAACCTCAGTCTGTCTATCTGCTTCATCCTCTATCCCACCATTGTTCTTCAAGATAAGAGCAATTAAAACTCTTCTACATGAGGGAAAGACCCAGACCCAGAGGGATAAATGCCCCCAATGTGACCTAATCTGGCTTTTGGGCCAAACTCATCCTTCTCCAATTCACTTTAGTCACTCCAAAAGAAAATTTTGAGACTATTTTCTCAGTTAAACCATTCCAGTGTTCCTGAACTTCTTTGTCATGAAGTAATTCTCAGAGCTGATCCCTTATCTATCCCCAAATTCACCCCTCACAGCTGCCTACCCTCACATATTTCTGACTTCCTCTTCTGTCTTCTCATGTCCTTTCTCTAGATCCACAAAACAATTCAGCTCCGCCTGGCTTGCTATACTCTTTCTCCATTTACATTCTTAAAAGAAACTTCATGTCTGCAATTTAGCTGAAACATGTAGCTACTTAATGCATGATAATCTTAATACCCCTTGAATGGATATTTAATATTTATTGACAGTTAATATTTTAATAGCAAAACACAAAAATAAAGGCCTATATAGATTGCTGATTATTAGCATAGTAATATATAGTATAAAGTATACATTACATAGTTCAGACCAAATATTTACCACATTTTTGTAGAAACTTGCTTGTCTGATTTTCTCAACATATAAATACAAACATAAATAGTTAATTCTGAGGTCAGTCAAGTGAAGTGTTACTAGAGGTCTGTCAGAGAAAGAATGCAACACATTATTTAGAAGCAGAGGAAAAGTAGCTTCCTGCTTGGAAAACAAAACTCTACCTAACTCAATAAAAATTTGAAGATGACTCCCATAACATGCTGGAATTTTTTTTATTGTAGTCTTATTTTCCTTTATATCATATGTTTCTTATTAAGTTTGTCCACCATAAGTTTTCTTTTAAGTTTTCTCATTTTCAGGATTTTTATTTTATTCTCACATTTTCAATTTTTTTCTCTGTGTTCTTGTTACACACCGAGATGAGATTTTTGATGAGCCAACTTCTTCTTTATTCTTCCCTCCGTTTTTATTACTGATAGATTTATTTGTTGCTTGTTGGTTCCATGTCTCGGCTGCCAATCGGTGAAAGCTCTTGGATCTCCCTGTTTTCTCCTTTTGTTCTTATTTGTTCAATTATTTTTTTTAATATTTAGGCTTTCTGTTGAAATTAGTCTGAAACAAAGACAGACCATGTCATTGAATTTCTTTGGTTAAATTGATTAAAAATACCAGAGTTAATGTTTGAAAGAATGGGACTGAAGCTCCAACAAATATTGAGGGTCTAATATTTTTCCTTTTGTCCTTTACTTAACAATTTCTCTGTTTTTTAAAAGCTGGTAAGAAACTGTTAAGTTTCATGAAAAGAACTTTAATGTTTCTATTTGGACTTTAGCTTTTGAGACTTTTTTTCTATCATCACATATTTTATTATTTGAAAATGCATGTGTGCAAATATTCCGTGATAGACCTCTTTGTGTTTTGCAGTGAAGATGAAAGGGGAAATAAAGTGTGTTGACCTGTGGTGGATTTTACAAGGTGCTGCTTATGCACAGGGATGCACACAAAGAAAACAGTAGAAGTGGAAAAGAGGCAGCAGTTATGGATGGAGTGAAAGTTTGGCGGTTTGGGTTATTACCTGGGTACTCGGGGTGGGACAGGCGCAAGTCGGGGCTGCACTAGGATGGACTGACGCCTCCCCTAAGAGAAATCACCGTATCTCATCAACATAGGAGGAAAGGAGAGGAAAGAAGAGGAGAGGAAAGAAAAGGAAGGCTAAAAGTAAGAGGTGGGAGGAGGGAGCCAAAATCAGGAGGGAAAGCTGGTGTACAAGACGAAAGGATTCAGAAGGGCAGTGAGGGCCGAGGAGAAACACAACAGCCACCAAAACATAACACATACAATACAACACAAAGTGAACAGAAAACAAGAACGTAAATATACATATAAAATCCTTCCTGAAGCACATTTACATACAGATACAGAACATGATTGCAAAAACACCAAACAATTTCAGATGCTTAGCAACCTGAAAGCCTTCCAGCAGCATGCCATGCAGCTCATCATTAGCAGAAGTCAAGCAATAAGAAAACAAAAAGGTGTTAAATCGTGCAACTCCAAAACGACATCTGGATGTGATAACGGCTGATTAACTGGCTTCACTGCTGAATCTGGAACATTCCCTGGTTCAGAAAGGGAAAAATACAGCTTGAACAACATGCTTATTTCAATCATGCATCAACTCTACAGAGAGATAAATACAGATTAAAAACCCAGAAGATATTTACATCGCTGAATTATGTAAAATCACAAACAGATCAGCAACAATTGTTTCAAAACGTAACTACCTTGGACACACAACGATTCAGACACTCATAAACGATGCGACAATGAGAGGAAGAGCTAAAGTATAATCATAATCAAATGTGACAGAACCGTTTTCCCACTAAGCAAACCATTTTTAAATAGAAATATTTAAATACTGCCTAAAAAATGCAATTCAAAAGTTATCTATACTGAATTTACCTATTGTAGTATTTATTAGTAGCATACCATAAAATATTTATATTGTTGCACTAACATGTTATTAAAACAGTCAAAAAGTAACAAACAAAACAGTGGCTGTAAAGTAGTAACTTCTTGTATTGCATTTAAAATATTCAATTGGATGCATTTTTTAATTTGTGCCACTAGAGGCCACCCTAGGCACAGGTTTATTTACGGTAAATTCATCTAACTTATGTTCTCTGTTTCTTTGTTTCCTGCTCTATTATAGCTCTCCTATTGCAATAAATTATTTAACTGAGCCACTTTTAAAAATTGCAAGACATTTAGTAATCGATTGTCAATGTTTAATCTTATATTGATCCATTGGAAATGGTAAATAAAATCCAATAACATAAGAGTACCACTGAGGATCTTCATCCAGATGAGGAATCTTCATTGAATAACTACTAATCACAAATAATTTATAAATTAAGAAAACTTGTGTCAAAGGTTCTTTTTTATTTAGATAATTAACATTTAACACCTATTATTTTAATAAAACTCATTCTGAGGTCATATCTTTATTGATTCCCACTTAACAGAATCATAATCTCTACTTCTACACAAAATCCACTTTATTCTCACTCTAGGATTTAATGAAAATCTACAAATACATTTATTAAAAAAAAAATATAGTTTGGACAAAGTGCAGAAGCTGACTGTACTTCGTCCTGTTGAATCACATTCAACTGAAATGCTCTAATATTGTAGTTATAAATGTGTAATAAAGCTCTTTGTTCAGATGAATCCTCTGTTCTCATGGCATACTTAACGAACTTTTTGATTTCTGCTGCTTTGAAGGGAAACTAATGGAGATCTCCCCTGAGGATTTCCTTTGATTTTTTTCTCCCCAGCCTTTAAGTGAGTTAACTTTGAAAATATGTCCAAAGAAAGACAGAAGTGTTCACATTAGGACATGCTAAAGCAGAAAGGCTCATGAGAAACATTACAGATCATCTCTAGATTTTTAATTTATCATCCAGAATGCATTTGGACCTGAACCTTTTCCACCAACGTACGTTTATCCTGCAACATTCAAACAAAAAACTTGACCACAGTTTGATTTAATGCTAACTTCATAACCATAATTAATTATATTGATTTGAATTAACCTGAATTAAGGTTCACCTGAAAAAGTTAAAATTTTCAGCTGCATCCTTTGGTTTTGGTCCTAGCTTGCACGTTCTGGTTTTGTTTTCCATACACATCAGCTTGGATAGGCCTTTCCCCTTAATAAATAAAGTTTAGATTTCTCCTTTTTCATTTGCTTTCATTATCTTTGTTTAATAAATACTGATATTTTAAAGTGGGACTGTCTGTAGGTGTCTTTTAACAGGATAATGTTACAATATAACAGTGGAAATAAGATGAACTTTAAAACAGAAACAGGATGTAAGAACCATAAAATGCCCCAAACCCTAAAAGTGTCTCCAAATTTTAAATACAAGTGTAAACAGAAATTCAAGATGCATAAATAGCAATCATAATTTTAATATTTACAATATGTGGACATTAATGTTATATTATTTTTAGTGTTACTGATTTTTTTACTTTTTTTCTTCCATGATGAAGAGATGCAGACGTCAATGAAGGAACAATTACTCTGATTTCTTGTATTTTTCTTAGCAACATGACGGCAGAACATTACGTGAGTCGTTATGCTAACATGGACTTACTATATTTACAGAATGACTCATGCACTAAAGGAGCCTGGTACAATCTGACAGCGTAAGAGAAGGAGGGGGCCCGAGACCATGAAGCATCGCAGTGACGAAGCTCCTGAAGACACAGCCGCCTCAGGATCGTGACCACGCTGCACAGTTAGCTTTCATTTAACCCCCGGGTTCTGCATCACCTAATTTCAGGCGGTTCTGAACCCAGACCTGCTCAAAAAGAGCTGCGGATCCGGCAACACCACCACAGACACAGACAGACTTTCCATAGCTCTGAGGAATGCAAACAGTAACAGTCTTTCATCGTCAAAGCTTCTCGTTTTGCTTGCAGACGGATGCCATTCAAACCCAAACATAAAGGACAGGTCAGGGACAGGGCAATCCAGTCAGAAGAGGGACCACACACACACACACACACACACACACACACACGCACACACACACAGCAGACCAGGTCATAGCAACAGCAAGGGGAGGAAGAGAACAGGAAAAGCAGAAAGGGGGAAAACACGGGCCAACGTACGGACTCGACGAGAGAAGCCATCTCACAGACCTGATCAGCGAAAATCCTGGTTTTTGGCTCGTAAATGGCTCCTCCCCTTATTTCATCCTCCACAGCCATGAGTCTTGGAAGCAGAGAGAAAGAGAGAGGACAGGAGAGAGGGAGACAGAGGGTGGAGAGGGGGGCAAAAAGAGAGGGAGCATTAGGAATTCAAGCTTAACAAGATGTTGAGCAGGTGCATCTCCAACTTCGGACTCAACAAAACTACCATGACAAAGTTCCTGGTCACCTGCATCTCATATCTGATCCCCAACACCTGATAAGCTGAACACCTTTGAAGCTGCCAATAAGAGCAGAGCAGCAGTCACCCAAACCATGCTCAGGAGCCAATTTTCATCCCATGGAGCCATTTTCTCTTCCCACCCCCATGGGGTTTATCAAAGTGTTTCTGTCCAATTTAAGGTGTTTACAAAGTGCAATTCGAGGCCAACTGTGGAAAATTAGGCCTGGTTTCCAGTGAGGTGAACAAAACCCAATTATCCCTAGGGAATTGTCCCATCTTATGTAACAGAAACTGACCAAGTCACGGGTAGAAAATCCTTTGACTAATCATTTCAAAGCCTCATCTCACTGATATGAGTGAAAACGTCGCTGCAGTTTTCATGAGCCAGCGGGCCGTGCATGTTTCCCAGCTCCTGTGATTGTCCATGAGCCAGGGATTTACTCCAGACAGCCATCCAATGATATTTCTCACACATATCTGTCTTATAACTAACTGGCTGAAACGCTGTTGCTTGGTGATGAGTGCCAAGAATAAATAAAGACTTTTGCTTCTCAAGGCTTCATTTCGCTCTCACAACAGCAAACGTCTTCATATTTACCATTACAAAGAAATTAGTGTTAAATTAGGTCTTCATAATAGTGAATAAAGAGGTCAGTTCTGCAATTAATATTAATTAGTTTTTAATTAATCAAATCAGGGTTTAATCATCAAAGCCTTTCATCACATTCATATGATTTAATTGAGAACACAGAGGACAGGTTTGACAATAAAGAATGAAAATCCACAGGTAAAGTTTCAAACAGAAGTGTTTGGATGTTTTATTCCATGAACAATGTACAGAGTTGAGAGATATTTTACAAAAGAAGAAGAGAATAGGTAAACCATCAGCACAGACAGAAATATTTGCACCGTCCCAGAGAACAATGGAATGGAACATGGTTATACAGCATTAAGATTCGACATGACTTCAAAAGGCAGACAATGATTTGTGTGGGTGATATGTCACAAAAAAATCCAGTTCAAGTAGTGTGCTTTTGAGGTCAAGTCGTACATTTAGTCAAAAATAAAAACAATGCATCTACCAAACATGAGGTCACAATGTCTGAATATTGTGCTACAGAGAAAAAAGGCAGGAGACAAAAGTGTAGAAGATGTGAAGTCAACGAAACGACAGAGCTGGTTCAAAAAGCAGCTGCAGATACACTGGGTTTTTCATTTCCAACATGTGCAACAGAAGCTTCAACTCTTTGATTGAAAATCTGCCTTTCATCCAACAAACTGGTGTTCATTCTAGAACAAGAAATATTCGATATTTGCAGCTACTTTATACAGATCTGTTGCAAATTTTAAAAAAGACTGAGAAACAAACCCTTGGCTGTTGCTATGAGCCATGTCAGTCACACACAAGCACACACCCACCCACCCACACACACACACACACACACACACATTACCACTGTGAATTAATTTGCAAGATTAAAACATCAGATATGCTGTAGTACAATCTATACAGCCTATCAATATATTCTTGCTACTAAAGAGAGGCAGATATATGGACACCAGAAAGTTACCTATAACTCTGAAACAAAAAGAAAAGAACGCTCACTGACATGAACATCTATAAGGAATGGGTTGATTTGGACTTGTGAGTATGGACCACATGCAGACCAGCAATGGGTATGTTAATGAATCAGTTCGCAAGGAGCTGGCACATATTCTGCTAATGTTATACAGCCATAACTGGATAAGAACATGGATGAATGTTTACCTTTCATTCAGGTGGAAAATGCTACTCCAATAAGCTAAAGCTAAAAACAAAACTTGCGCTCTCTAGTTTCCTTCGAAGACATGCCAGCTCCTTGACACTGAACCAATGACACACTCATAAGCTGACTGAATAGTAGTGGTGCACCAATAAATTTCCTTGACTTTAGGTGATCTGCGATTTGCCGATACTGACATGAGAAACCAATTTTATCTACCTTTGCAAAGGTCAGTAAATCTGCTCCTGTCTGCTTTTGCTGTGGTTCACAACATCACCCCACTGTTGCCAACCTAACGACTTTATTGCTGTATTCAGCGAATTTTCAGACATAAAAAAAAAAAAAATTCAATATCGGCCAAGATCAGAAACTTTCAAAAGATCAGTGATCGTCCAGAAAACTGCAATCGGTGCACTCCTACTGAATAGGTGACAATTTATGTCCAAATTAGGCCATTCCTTCCAGCTGCATAACTGTTCTTACCAATGAGTGCAATGTGGTTTCTAAAACAATAATAATAATAATAATAATAATAATAATAATAATAATAATAATAATAATAATAATAATAAGACTGCATAAGTTCAATGACAGTACTGACTAACTTTCTCAAACATCTATTCTGATCACCATGTCACTGGACACCACCAATGACAGACTGCAGGTCAAAAAGTCATACCGAGCATTTACAGCAAAATCATACAGAGAAAAAGAAAGTCATGTTTGCTTTCAATAATAAATAATATTCATTCCAGGCTTTCAATTAAGAAGCAAAAAAAGTCACAAACTGTACAGAATAAACCAAAAAAACAACAACAACAAAAAATAATTTAAAGTACTTAAGTTCACACTTTGCAGAACTAGCATTTTGTCATAAAGTTGCGTCATGGTTGTCATGTTGCCTCTGTGGCATTTTGCACCTTACAGTACTCCAGGTCTTTATTCAGATACCATGGATGGCACCTGGTAGAAGAGTTTGGCAGGTAGTCACTGTTTCTTTATGTACAGAAAATGCATACAATATATCAGAGTCCTGCATGTGCATTTGCACAAACAGCACATCTGGACATATTGTATGGGTTATTGCGCTTCTCCGGCTAAAAGCTTAGCTATTGCAAAGTTAAAATATCTCACTGTCATATACTTTTACTCTGTATATATCTATATATACCATTACTGCTATGGCTCTTGCATCATTGTGTTTAATATGATATGGATTATCTTAAAAAATAGATTATTACTATAATAGGTGCAATACAGACCATAGATTTGATTCTCTTCGTTGCATCGCTCCATCTCTTCAACTGAAAGCAAACAGCTTGAGAAAGATAAATAATGTAATGTATATTTATAATTTTAATACAGTGATAAAACGTGTAGCCAACTAAAGAGATATTAAACCTAAAAACAAAAGAATACATATTTATAAATACATATGCTACAGGTAAAGTGGATTCAGTAGATTTAAACTAGCATACCTTGAAATTTAAAGGAATAGTTTGGATTATTTTTTTTGTCTTTTGGATGCAGGGTTTTGTTAAGAGGTTGGGCCATTTCTTACCTTTAGCAGGAATCTCCTTAAATAAACTCATCTTGGATCAAAACTAAGATTCTTTAGCCTTCCCAGTTTTACAATGAACATAAAATTGTTTTCTACCATAGAACAAATTTACTCTCAAATATTTCCTAGCAGTTTAGGCAAATTTTATTGAAAAAAATAATAATTTGGCCATCTGGATTGCATTAGAGTTTCCCCATTTTTTAAAACATCAGCGTAAAAGAGCTTTACTTTGAGTAAATATGACAAACTGAAACTATCAAAAACATAACTGTAAAAAATTATAGACTGCTTTTTCAATTTGTGTTTATCCAAGTCATCATGTAAGAGATCTCAAAGTCTGGCACATTAAGTCACATAAAGAATATGCGATTTCCTTGTTTTTGACTCAGAAAACAAGTAGATGAAGAAAGTATGTAAAGCACTCCACACCAAAACAATGCAAAAATAGCTGGTAATTATGACACTTTGCTTGAAAACCCACCTGTCAGACTTTTTGTAGTGAACTACAGCAGAAGTGCAAAGCAAGTGGTGGAAATGAGGAACTTGTCATGTTTTCATTCACGCTTTGTTATCTGGTGTTCACTGGCAGCAGTGGTTTGTTTTCCTCCCTGCTCTGGTGAGGAATATTTTTTTAATTTAAATAGGGAAAAACATGTCAATCATTTTAGCATTTTGCTGTTGTGTTGAACTAAGGTTTGCGCAAATCCATGAGTACAGGTTGAAGATGCTTTAAGATGTCAGAAATCTGCTTTAGTCTGGCTGCTACTTTATAGTTTCAACTTCTTCTCCTCATCCATGCTGCTGTAGTACGATAGAAGATACTAACAACTCATAACCTCTTCACAGAACCTTGCTCAAACAAAAATCCAAACTATTCCTGTAGCATTTGGCTTTGGTTTAAATTAAGACTGCTGAGACCAGGCCTGGTCTATTGACAGATACTCTGAGCTAAAAGTGAAGTTCACGCACAGAGCATTAAGGCTTCTCTGAAAGAAAAAACAATGCAGACTGATTTTAGTCCTGCAGGGAAAGACAAGATTTTTGCAAGCCAACCCAGGAGTCATATTAGTCCTGAACTTGCATTTCTACCATAAATAATCTGCCATAAGGTGTCAGCTGAATGTAAAAGTCAACTGAGGAGGAAACAGAACATAAGGCTATGCTTGCACTTGTTCATTCACTTAGATTCTGGAGTCCAGTCAACCCAGCAGGATGGCCTGAGACGTTGCTTCTTGGCATCCATGCACTCTGTCTGCATTGCTCTTATGTGCATTCACATTCCTAATGTGTCCAGATGATGCACAAGTCCTGCAATGCACGGTCTGGCTCAGTGGTCTGTGAGTAGAAACTGACTCGGAAGCATCCAGATCTGCTACTTAATTCATCCCAAGGTCAAAGTAGGTCAAGGTACAAGTATGCCTTGATAAAGTCAGTATTCACTTGTATACTCCAGAGGGAGATAACCCAGGTGATTATTCTCTAATGTTCTCATAGTTCCTCTATGCCTTTCTGCCCGAATCTTCACAGCATATTGATTCAAGTTTTGTCTGTGATGTTCTGTCCTCCTCATACTATGTATACAAAAAAGGAGAGAGGTATTAGTCCCCATGTTTCTTCTGCAGAGAGAAACATCAGCAGTCCTTCAGTGAACAGCGTTCACCTTCGTCAGGAATGGAAGAGCTAATATCAAACCACGGTCTTCCAGAGTCCTGTGCAGTAAAGTCCATAACAATCATTTAAAAAGTGCAGTTTTTCCCCCTTTGGAGTTATTAAATTGTCATTCCTTTTGTGCTTTTACTGGGAAATCCTCTGGAATATTGGAAAACTAGGTGGAATTATCCGATATGATTCCAAAATTCAGTAAAGGAGCATAAAAAAATGGCTGCTGGTGGGTGCAACAGCACGGGATGAGGGAGGATGGTTTAAGGTTCTTTTATAAGCTCAGTTAGAGCGTTACAGATGCGTTTTCCTTAACGGGCCAGCGGGACTCCCTGTCTTCATTCCGAGTCTTCTTTCCTGGAGTGGATTAGAAGTGGCAATATTCTCTGTCACAGATATCTACCCTTCAGTTGCAGACCACAAGATGACTATCACAAGATGTGAAAATATGGCAGAGTTTTCTTTTTGGCTAAACCTTTCCCACAATAAATCACTGCTAATGTGCAGCCTCACATTAAATCCTAAAACGCAGGAACTGTTTTGGTTTCATGCCTGAACACAGCTGAGAAGCGATCGATATTCCACTTCTTACTCATGAACCACTTAATTTGCTGGAGATCAATAACAACTAAGAGCTGCTCTCACAGACTGGCCTCATTGATATTTCACAAAATCACCCAATAAATTAAGGCTCAGCTCCAGATCTCTGCAGTTTGCTAAATACGATGCTGTAACAAAGAACAAACCGCATCGTGAGGATCTGACAACAGATTTACCGGAGCAATTCCTAAGTGGTAAATCAAATACTATTTTTTTCAGCTTTGAAAACAATCAGGGCAACATAACCTTTGTACTTATTTAACAAGACAGAGATTTCTGCTCTCCATGTGAAAGTATCTCACTTCAGTTGAGATACTGGTGTCCTTGTCGATGTAAAGTTCCCTGCCTAACACGATTTAATAAATCTGAAAGGTTTCCCACACTGCACTACACAGAGCAAGATATCTGGTAAAAAGAAAGAGTAGTTTGTTCTTTAGGAAATACATTAGAATATTCTGTTAGTACTTCTCCAGGTTTATGATTTAACTTGTTAGTTATGTTGTATGGTGGAAGCCCTCTACGTTTACACACTTCTCAGATTAGAATACTTTTAATTATGTTTAGCAATCTGGCATTTAGAGAATTTGCCACTTTTACCACCTGTCAGGGGTAAATTATGTCTTCTGTCACTAAATGCTCCCCACATCTGCCTATGAAAGACCACAGAGCCGTCTTTTGCCCTCCATCCCAAAAACAGCCTCCAGTTACCTGTTAATTATTCCTTTAATTTGGGAGTCTTTCTCCACTTGCTGTTGTCGTAGCCTCCTCTCGCTGTCCTCCAGACGGTTTTGGTACTGGAGGAGGATCTTATTGGTCTGCTGCTCCTGCATTAGGAGCCTCCTCTCGTACTCCTCCAGCTTTCTGTGAGACATCAGCAGACGCTCCTTCAGAGAGTTGATTTCCTCCTCGTACTCTTTGACCTGAGGCGGCGACAGGAAACAGCTTAGTTTGACATGTTTGGAGGTAACAGGGCTCAAATGGGCAAATAAATGCAAACACATTGTGTAGTTTTGAACCACCTTAAATTTGTTTGCAGTTTGTTTCTTGCATGCAGTCAGACTCAACTGAACCAGAGTGAAAAAGTAATAAAAGATGGAATAAAAACTCGAAACCAAAAATCTTGCTCCTCGGAAGCAACATATAAAATAAAGTGAGAAAAGTCAAGACTTTGTAGAAATACAGTTTATGGAATGTAAAACTACAGTGGTGGGATTTGATTAATAATTTAAACTGAGTTCATTGCAGGGCATATAATTAATTCATCACAATTAAATGAAACTGTATATCAAGAAGATAAGCTATGTTTTCAAATCATGAACACTTTTTTCTGCTAAATCATTGACTAAATAAACATGTAACCTCTACAACAAAGATATTTATGATTTCTAATGTGTTGTTTAGGTTATTAAAACATCAGATTCATGCAAAGTGTTATTAAACCCATTCAGCTTCTACAAAAAAATCTTTCTTTAGTAATATATGAGGATCTATGGCTACATGTTGTTCGTAATTGTTAATTAAATTAGTCAACAACATCTACAACTTGGGCTCAGTTGTGTTTATATTGTGTCTCTTGACAGTGTTGATATTGTCTTCATTTGGTTCAGGAAAAGAACCAGTGGTGTTAAAATGACGCCTACCCTGTCCATGCGCGACTCATCCATGCTTTTTGAATACTCCTTCAGCTTGAAATCCTCTCGGTCAATTCGTGAACTTTCGATGTCGGCCGACAGGTGAGGCATGTTGGAGACCCAGGCCACGGTTCGCTCGTTCGCTGGGGTCGGGGGATTGAGGGTGGTAGGTGACTGGGAGCCCTGGGAAGACAGGAGAAAGGCTTACTATGGGACAAGAAGGCACAGAAAGGCTTTTCACATGTATCACTGCAAAAAAACACAAGTATTTTTATCTAGGCTCTAGTGCAAATACCTTAGAACACTTGAAATAAGACAAAACTTGCAACTAACTTTTCAGCAAGATATAGGAGCTTAAGTCAATAAGTCCTTAATATTGATAAAAAAGTCGAGTTCTACTGGCAGACTGTTTCACTTGTAACATGGGAAAACTGCCTTGCTATAAGTGAAATAACCGACCAGTGAAGCTAGTAATTTTTCATCTATATTAAGAATTGATTGATTAAAAACAAGCTTCTATATCTTGCCGAAGAGTTGCTTGTAAGCTTTGTCTTATTTCAAGTAAAATATCTGCACTATAAAACAGATCAAAAATACTTGGTAAGATTTGTGTTTTTGCAGTGTATGCTGAGGCAATTCAAAGTACTTTACAGAACTCAAGCAAAATACAAAATTACATAAATGTAATGCATAAAAAAATAACTTCTAAATTCAGAAAAAACTCTGAAGTGGTTGGAAATTGTTTTCATAACCACTAGGAAATTATTCAAAGTGTCTATAATTATTATATAAAAACCATGCATAGACATCCTCCAGAGACAGCTGTGATGATGTCATGATGACCCGGAGAAGATGAGACATAGGCAGTGTGCAGGAGTTACCTGTTTACTCATGGTGGGTTTTAAAAGGTGCTGTTGAGACTGCTGTGGTGACTGCTGAGTGCTCTGACTGGTGGTCCCTTGTGGACTCCCGCTTTCCCTGACAGAGCTCTGCTGGTGGGGAAGACCCGGGGCAGTGTTGTCTTTGACTGATAGCTGCCGGGACCCGTGCTGCCTGCCGCCGTAGCCGGACTCTGGAGACTGGAGGAGGTTCCCGCTCTGCGGACGGCTTTTACCAGAGGCGGCAGGCGCGGCCGCCGCACTGACGGATAGCTGGTGGGAAGTCTGGGACTTGACGCGCTGGCTGGGGGGCGGAGCGACAGAGCTCTGCCGCATAGGTTGAACGGTAGAGGGAGGAGTGGTGGCCAGGGAGGAGTGAGACGTTCCAGTCTGGGAGGCCATTCCCATCATTTCATGTTGCTGTTGGAGGTTATCCTTGGAAAGAAAACAAGTGCACCGCAAACTATTTTTATACTTTTGCAACCTACTTATTTTAACACTGCAAAAACACAAATTGTTGCAAAGTATTTTTATTCTAGTTTCTAGTTCAAGAATCTTAGTAGACTTGAAATAAGGCAAAACTAACTTACATGCAACTTGTCAGCAAGAAATATGAACTTGTTTCAAGTAAATAATTCCTTAATATTGATGAAAAAGTACTTGTTGCGTTGGCAGATTATTTCTTTCATGTAATAAGTGAAATAATCTGAAAATGCAACAAGTACGTTTTCATCAATATTTAGGAATCTTTGACATAAAAAAGTTCATATTTCTTGCTGAAAACTTGCATGTAAGTTAGTTTAGTCTTATTTCAAATGTACAAAGATACTTGCAGTAGAAACTAGAATAAAAATACTTGACAACAATTTGTGTTTTTGCACTGAAGGACTCAAATTTAACTGAGCACTTTAGTCATAATTATAGTTTAGTGTGATTTTAAAATTGACATTATAGCTTGGCTTTTCTGATGCCTTGTAAAAAAGACAGTTTGTACACACACAGAAAAGGTCATTTACTGAAAGAACAACACAGTTATAACAGTAATTAANGCTGGTGGGAGACTTCCTGCAGCCCATGAACAAAACTGTTCCCACTCTGATCTGACTTTTGTCAGCCTAGGAACTGCAGCAAGCGCTCTAACCAACTCACCTGACCCTGTTGAACCACCCCAGTTCGGCGGGGGGGAGGTTATAAACTGAATGGTGTGGCTTGTTGCTGGAACTACGGAACTGATTTATGTTTTTTTGATTTGTTAATTTAATTGTTTTCTTTGTTGTATGTTGTTTTTTTCCCTTTCTTATTGTTATGTATACATGTATATAATTAATCACTGTGAATACAAGGCACTCACATCTGCTAACTTCTAGTCTGTCTACTCCTTTATGAGTCGTATCTTGACTTCTGAGAACTAGCCCTATAGACCTTGTTGGTCGTGATCTATTTTTAGTTATTTAGAAATATAGTATACTGTTTACACAGATATGCTACATTAATCATACTAAAATCTGATCATCTAAGAATAATTTTGTGTAAAAAGAAAATGTAATGAACATGTTTTGTATAGTCAATAGATCTATCCTAATGTGTTCAAGGGAGAATAATAGGTCACTTTAAGGGTTAAACTACAGCAGTGTCGACATATAACAGCAGAACTGGTAATGAAATACTAAAAAAAGCTAAATTAGATTTTGCAGTAACTTTGGTTTTTGTTTAATACCAAAGTTAACTCGGATTGAGATACAGAGAACAGTATTTTAGGACCAACAAGGTCATTCTCAAAGACATACAAGTCAAAAATGTATCATACTGTAGGTGACCGCCTGAATGGATGGTGCATCTCTCAGGTCCTGTTTCAAGCCACATTTATCACCAAGCACATGACTTTTATGAATTTTAGCCCTAAAATCATTTTATCTTCAATTTGTTCACTTTCCATAGAGACCATATACTGTAAAATATGGTGTCATAATCAGGTTTAAGACATGTTGAGAATAAAAGAAAAGGTGGAAAAGCAGCCAAAGTTTAAAAATAAATCAATTGAGAGACCTTCAGAGAGGCAAGGCCACTTTGCATGAGAAAAATACTCACTTTGGTTCATAAAATCCCCTAAAGGTTAGAATCCTTTGAATGTATAAACCACAAACTTACAGAAACATGCGAATGCAACATGTCAGAATTGGAGAAAGTGTCAAAATCTAACTCTCTAATAATAAAAAAGGCATTTTTTTTCTTTGCCTGTAGATTAATATTTACTTACATGCTGCATGCAGTTCTTTAGGTTTTCTTTCTGCGAGCTTTTAAATCGAAACCTACATTTACTTAATGTCATCTTCTGAATATTTATACAAGATCACTGCACTCCATCAGCTGGCCCTGCAGAGATAATGGAGCATGCAGCAGCCATTAGGTGACTAAAAGGTTAAACAAACACACCATGCAGGTCGGTAAGCAGCTCCTCAGTAATTTTGTGCATCACATATTTGCATTTAACACCATGAATCATCCTGAGCTTTTCTTCTGAATCTCTTCATAAATGATAAACTTCAAGTCTTTTTCTTTCCATCTGCTGCTCATCTTACATATTAAAATTAGGTAATATTAGAGTTACAACTAGTGAAAAAACTAAAAACAACTCAAAATGAAAAGTCACGTTTACTTCTACAAATGAAATGTGTTAGTATTCTTCCTAGGATTCACGTGATAAAGAAAAAGCATTCATTACAAAAACGGTAACACACACTTAATATAATAGAAACACTGCATATTGATCCATAAATGTACAATTATAAATAATTAAGTAAAGCTCTTTTAAAAGCTCTCACATCGAATGAAGGAAGTGAGTTTCATGTTTTTAATTCCTCTAAAAGTAACAAATGAACTGGTGGAAGAGTAAAACCAGCTTTTAAAGCATAAATGTCCAAACCTTTTACCATAAATCGTTAAGTTAAAATCATTCAGACCACAGAAATAAAAAAAATATATATATATATATATATATATATATATATATATATATATATATATATGTTATCTCCTAAATAATTAGCTAAGAAATTTCAGTTTTAGTAAAATTAACAAAATATTCAGATATGTAAATTGCCTCGTTTCTAAATTATCGTTGATTGTTTTGTGGGGTTTTTTTATTTGAGTAGTCAGATTTGCTTCTGAGAAAAAAATCGATCAATGTTTGTGTTTCCAGATGAATGAAAAAATTTAATAAATGGGAATCAGTTTTTTGTACCTGATATTTTTTATTGATCTGCAAAACAAAAAAAAATTAAAATTTGCTCTAAAGATGAAAATGCGCTGTAAGGAAAAACATCTCTAATTTACGGTAAAATACCGGCAGTCGTGGCTGCCAGAATTTTACCATATTTATACGCCACTCATAATACGGCATTTAGACGTTATAAATATGATATAAATATGCTTAATTTAGGGTTAGATGTAAATATACCATAATTCCCCTAAACAAACATGTATAAATACAGGATTTATGATATTTACCGTGCAATGGATAAATACCATATTTATGGCATAAATACGGTAAAATTATGGCAACCACAGATGGACACAAAAAATCCATCTCTGATTTATGGTAACCACTATATTTTACAGTATTTTACCATAAATTAGAGACTTTTTCTTTTTTAAATCTATCAGGTCAGATTTGCAGCATTCTAGAATTGGAGCCACACAAAATCCTTCAGAGGGCCACAAATGGCCCCGGGCCGCACTTTGGGCACCCCTGTTTCTTTTGCGTAAAGTTTGGCCAAATAACAGTCGATTATATAAAACATTATGTATCTTAGATGCAACAATATTTTTTAAGTTTTTGAACAGAGAATTGCTCAGTGTGAGTTAATTATCTGTAGATTTTTGTTCAGATCCTTTTAAACATTTATTTATAAAAGCAAACCAATTTTAGGCTTATCTGGTGTACATGATTGTAAGATATAAATAAATCCTAATCCTGGGTGGGACAGATGTTCCCGAGGGCGAACGCCGTTGAAGCCGAGGCGCCTCTGTGGTGCAAACTGAGAACGTGTTAGCTATTGTTGCATCTGCTTTGCATGGAAGACTGTTTAGCCAGGAGCAATTAGACACAGGCAGGGTTTTCTCTGTGCAGTTTGACGACATTGGAACATGGCGGAGTACTAAACTCTTCTTCTCCGTCACATTTTGCCTCATATCAGGCAGATTTTCTTCAACTCGTTTGTGATTTTGATGAAAATGTCCCCTGAATTTCTAAAGGTCTTTTCACATGCGTTTCCTTTAGACGTGACTGTTCTGCTATTCATCCTTGTTTGCTAAGAAATATCGACTAAGACACCTTTAAGAGATGCTGCTTCATTCAGCAAAATATCAAGAACTGTGTTTTAGTATTATTGGATTTCATAGACTAGATCACATGTATCAAACTTAAGGGGCGGGGGCCAAATCTGGTCCGCCGGGGCTCTTCACGTGGCCCTCTAGACTCCAAATTACATCAATAAGTCCATTCAGTTTTTTAAAATCTCCAAAATCCATACAAAATCAACACATCCTTAAATTTTTTCTAATTTTATGGCACATTTTTCTCAAAATTGATCAAAAACATCAGGGTTTGGATCACTTTGAAAAGTCTTTATAGATTAGCCCCACAAAATATGTGATTTTGATTGCAAAAAAATCCACAAAAACAATCAAAGTCCTGGAGGATTTCAGTTCGGTTTTTGGCTGCAGTTTGACATTTACATACCAAACTTTTATCATTTTAAAAACGGGTAACTCTCTCTTTCGCTTACTCTTCTGTGATGACCCCGGATGAATTTGTTACAACACGAAAACCGACCATCAGAGGCTTTGAAATCTGAATAGCACAAACAAACGGATGAGCAAACAAACGGGACGGCGCTCCAGTGGCAATCTGTGGCTCAGTCTCTGTGTAATGATCTGCAAATTGCTGGACGCCGAGATAAAATTCAACTGGAAGCACAAGCTGCCACATGGCAAACAGGCTGTTATAGTTTCAACCAGGAATCCGGCAAGAACCAAACACTGGATCTGACCTGCAGGGTTAGAAAGTCCAACTAAAGGAAGCCAACAAGCTGCTGCACTACCAGAGATTAAAGTAGAAACTGTTGAGCTGATTCAATGGCGTCTTTGTTGGTTAATGGCATGGAAATCTGTGTTTCTTAAACAGCATTATTGCTCCGAATGCGGTTTTGTTTGCGTTCTCATTGTTATCGTCCTGGAAGATCTGGCAGGGATCTGCTTTAAAGATTAAGACGAACGCTCAGACCTTGTGAGGTATTTGTAAGTAGTTTCTCTTTTTGTTCTCTCTGACAAAACAATCCTGACCTGAACTGCTTTCTTTGATTCTTTTTCCTCTTCTGTAGTTTTCAACCCTGGGTCTTTGTAAGCATTTGACATTCACTTAGTTGTCAAGGAGATGGCTTTATTGTTACACCTGACTCCTTTTACCATTTT